CGTGATCCAGTGCGAGGCCTTCCCGCTGTCAGATGAGTCCGACGAGCCGTCCCAGCCGCCACCGCCGCTAGATGGTGCGCCGCGCCGACCGTCGCCGGAGCGAACGTCTCGGAGCGGCCGCCACTGGCTGGGGCCATCTTCCGACCGCCCCGCGGCGGGAGCGGACCGGTCGCTCCGTCGATCCCGCGTTCTCCCGCCTGGATCGGCCCTGCCAGCGACCGTCGCCGCGCGGCGGTCTGCCCGATCCGGCCGTCGGCGAGAGCGGACCGGACGCTCCGTCGATCCCGCGGTCTCCCGCCTGGATCGGTCCTACCAGCGACCGTCGCCGCGCGGCGGTCTGCCCGATCCGGCCGTCGGCGAGAGCGGACCGGACGCTCCGTCGATCCCGCGGTCTCCCGCCTGGATCGGCCCTGCCAGCGACCGTCGCCGCGCGGCGATCCGCCCGATCCGGCCGTCGGCGAGAAGGCCACGTCCCGCGACGGCTCCGGAGTCCCCGGGCGGCGCCGCCGCTGATCACCCGGTCCACTCCTCGGGGCCGTTTCACGCTATAACCGGTCCCCTCCCGGGGGTGGGGGCCGTTCACCCTAACCGGTCCATACCCGGGACCGTTCCAGTTTCTGACTCTCACTTCCGTAGTCCTGAGCTGAGAAACCCCCTTTCAGTAACAAGCGCTCGGGTGGGGGTCAAATTGACCCCGGAAGGTTTTCCGGAAGAGTTTCCGGACGGCGCAGCGTAGCCGCGCTACGTTTTGCATAGCTATAGACAATTGCATAGCGGATCGTTTGGCACAAAAATTTAGATGTACCTTGTGAGGTCGCTGGCCTCTGGCAGGTCAAAGTCAGGCCATGGTTTCAGTGAAGACAGTTCCCAAGAAATCGTTCAATCTGATCCAACAACGGAGTGTTGACGAAGCCATGCATCTCTGAGATGCTTTCTTAGGCAACACAACAATTGAATGAACAAATTGCGTTGTCCTAGGGTCAGGTATTAAGGTCATTCCAGGGTCAAAACCAACCTGCTTTATTACTCTAGGGCTTGCTATATGGGATAGTTTCTAGTGCTCATTCAAATTCTTTGATAACAGGAATTGCATTACACACCTTCCAGAGTCTTCTTGAAGGTCGGAGTAGGTCACTGACCTTGAAGTGACATATGTCAAAATTTTGTTTTCAGGAACACGCTGCCTTGAGTTATCTTTGTCACTTATTCAAAGGCACACCTTAAAACAGTTTTGTATGATTTTGGTCACCACGACCTTCAAAAGATCAAGCAAGGTCACTGACCTTTAATAAGAATGCTACCTTTTGCTTAGAACGGTTATATAGGTTATGGGGGTGCTTTGGAGACCAAACTGGATCTTAACATTGTTTGACCCTATTTGACCCGAAGGTCATGACCTAAGAACCTCAAACTTTGAGCTAAGTGAGTTCACGTACAGGTCGACACACCCTGTGAGTTTGGTGTCTCAGGCCCTCTTAGTTCCTGAGATCTCAGGGGTTCAAGTTGACCCGCGCCGGAGCGACGGGTATCAAACCGACCACCCGGGCGCGTGTTAACGTAGCATGAGTCTGCGCCGCTTGATCCACAAGTCCCCTAACGCCACCGAAGTAAGCAGTCAGTTATTCCTCAATGCCCGATAATGATAGCATATCTCAACAGTGCCCGATGCCACTGGTAACTGCAAGGACCCGACCCTGGCACCTGACCGCGACAATCAGACAGAGCTGGCCATCTGATAACTTGCTCAGTGTCGCCGACCTTGAGCACTGTCTCAGGACATTGTCCGGCGGTAGCGATCTATCATCGCTGTGAAAATCACCCGACGAAACTCCATTGTCAGTCATTGCCTTGCAGTAGGACCCACTGCACTTGGCTCGAGTTCAGATATACCATGCCACTATGTCAGCGCTGTAGACGCCGGTGCTCCTCACACAGAAACTCTCGGTATCAGAATGTTTTTCTCCGGCGGCCGGCCGGGTTTCATTGCTTGAATTAGAGCCCGTTCGAGCAGAGATGATCAGTTCAGGGCTACGGGATAAAGGAAAATGGTCAACGGTGAGGCAGGCTTGCACGTGTCTGGAGGGCCAACCGCCGAACTTTACCCCACGCATGCGCACTGGGTATCCGGTTGGGGTCCCCTTCCCACGGGGCTCTCGGCCCACTCGTGGCTGACGTACGCGGTCTACCCCGGACAAGCGGGGTGCCGCGAAGATGCAGGGTAAAGCAGGATGGGGGGGCCGGATCGCGGGTCGGGCCACGACCCGCTGACCGGTCACCAGGGCGCGCTCATGTCCAGAACAGTGGCGGCCGCTCTCTCAGCCAACACGGAGACGGGGGGGGGGGGGGGGGGGGGCAGAATTAGCATGCTGCAAACCTTTTCCGGTATCTTTCACAGCAGTCGAATGTTATTTGAGACCGCTGGATCTCCGTGTTGATCGAGTGAATGAACCCCAGCAATGTATGGCAGCTGGATCGCGGGGATAAGAGGGCGCTTCACCTCCTACTCGTCACGCAGCGCCCCGCACGTCCCTCTTTATTGCGGTGAACGACGCACCTCCTAACATTCGTCTTGCTTGAGCCTCCAAGCACGAAGTGCAGTTCCTTGGCCGCCATTCACGCGTCTGAACACCGCCTCCACCCGGTTTGCATTCCATGCGATTACGTCATCCAACTTCACTTACTGTCCGCCGGCCCGAAGACTGGTCGAGCTGCAGCTGATTCTCAGTGGAACATCCGTCCTCGGTACACAGATCGAGGGCGGAAGGAACATCCGTCCTCGGTACAGAGATCGGGGGCGAAAGGAACATCTGTCCTCGGTACAGGGATCGGGGGCGGAAGAAACATCCGTCCTCGGTACACAGATCGAGGGCGGAAGGAACATCCGTCCTCGGTACAGAGATCGAGGGCGGAAGGAACATCCGTCCTCGGTACAGGGATCGGGGGCGGAAGAAACATCCGTCTTCGGTACACAGATTGAGGGCGGAAGGAACATCCGTCCTCGGTTCAGGGATCGGGGGCGGAAGGAACATCCGCCCTCGGTACAAAGATCGGGGGCGGAAGGCGTCACACGTCTCAAGCATCCGTTTGTTGGTTAATGGAGTTCCCGGGAGCTCCGACCACGCACACGGAGCTACGCTTCGTCAGGACTATCCCCTACCCACTCTCTGCGCTTCCATGCGCACCACGCCGGTGCCTCCCACGTCCTCCGGCGCCTCGTCGCGACCGCCGAGTCTTTCTCGCTTAGACTCATCATTCGCCGTGCCTCTGCGTCCAAACCACGCCACCTAGTGCAGAATATGTTATTGCCAACAGTTCAGTTTGACTAGATACAAGTATGACTGGAGCGGGGCTGGCGTGGCCGCGGCGCCACGCCGGCAAACTCAGACACGGTATTAGTAGACTAACCCGAGCGACCCTGCTCCGGGGTCCGGGCCGAACAGCAGACATGTCCCGGGCCCGGCCCCGCTGGGCGGTGCGGCGGCCAGCGACACGCGCCACCCCTCACCGCCAGACGCCGGGAGGCTGTTACACAAACGCCGCCGCCACAGACAGCGCACACGGACTGCTAGGCGGGGCGCCGCCGCCCCACACGCGCACCGCCCGCCGGTCAAAACTAAAACTGCCACGCTCGCGCGCGCGCGACCGGCCACCTAAAACAAACGATATACAAATGGCGGCCCGAGGACCGCCACCACCGGGGGTATAATAAATAACAAAGCTCCTGCAAGCCGAAATGCCTCTGTGGTCCTGGCGGGTACAGAAGTGGACGACGGCGGTCCGACGAGCACTTAACGACACGGTTAACAGTGTGAGACGGCCGGCGGCCGCCCACGCTCCACACACGCTCTCTCAGGCACATATGACAGCTATAACAGAGTCCCGGGGGACGCATGCACGCCGGCGGCAGCCGCCGAGGCGACCTCGTACATCACACGGAAACGGCGGTCACGGGCCGCGGCCGGTCACGCCGGAGCGGCGCGCGCCCAGTCGGAGCGCGCCCGCCCACGCACGGACACGAATGAGCCACACATCGATACACGGAATCGACGCCTCGCCACAAGACGCTCCTCTGTACAGGGCGCGGCCGGGTGCCCCAGTGACACGACACCGACGCCCGGTCAGCACGCTCGTCTGTACAGGGCGCGGCGCGGACGCACCGGCGAGGTGACGCCGACGCCGGGTCGGGTCGCCGCGGGGGAACGCGTGGCGCACGCCGCCGTCACCCCGTCCGACCGACACCGACTACGGCCAGGGAAGCGCGGATGACACTGCTACGTCTTCAGGTAGTTCTACGAGAGCCGACTGCGGCAGACATCGGCCACGGGAAGCACGCGACAACGACCGGAGGGCGTGCGCGGGAGCTCCACATCGGATGACCGAGCACAGGGCGAGCACCAAACGCCGCCGTCAAATACCACCGGGGCGTTTGCCCCTGGGGAACCAAGGCGTCGCGAAGCGGAGCAGGAGGCCCCGCGTGCCGGGCCGGCAGCCCAGGGCGGCGGCCAACATCCAGCGATGCGGGGGGACAGCAACACATGGTGGCCTAGGGAGGACCGAGGCAGCAGCAGACACGGCAGACTACACGCAGCAGCGACGGGTTCGAGAGGCCGGGTGGCGCCGCCGGCGGGCGCAGGACGTCACCGCCGGCGACCAGACACAGCCATGCACGGAGGGCACGCGGGGAACATCAACAGGGTACAAAACTAGACCCAACTGCCGCCGCACGGGGCACTCATGCTTCCCTCCCCTCCCACCCGGTTTCGGTTTCAGCGGAGGAAGTTTACCGACCGTATCTTTTCTAGCGTAACGCACCCGCTATACTGACCGCCCTCGCAATGCGCGATAAAACTCCTCGGCGTATAAAATAATCCGCAAGTTACAGATTTCGACAAAAGCGGTCGTACCAATGTAACAGAGCTCAGGCGGGGCGCGCGGCCGGCCCCCTCGTCGCCCCCGGCGCGCCTCTCCGCGCCGAGCGCCCACGTAGCGGGGAGGGCGCGTCAGCCGGCGGCCCACACATACTGCGCGTTATCCATGGAAGAGCCGCTGTCGGTGCGGTGCAGCCGCTTCTCGCCGGCGGCCAGCAGCAGGCGGCCCTCGCGGTTGTCGGCCAGCTCCAGGAAGACGCCGAGCGGCGCGCCGCCGCCCAGTCGCACCACGCTCACGTTGGCGCCGCCGCCGCCGCCGCCGCTGTCCACGTAGATGTTAGTGATGTTGTCGGTGGTGGTGAAGATGTTCTCGGAGCTGGCGGCCAGCGGCGTGTCGGCTAGCTCGGCGCGCGGCGGGCCCAGCGCGCTGAAGTCGAGCACGTGCAGCTCCGAGATGCAGTTGAGCGAGCGGCTGTTCTGCATGCCGCCGCCGGCGGAGCGCGTCAGTCGACCCGAGGCAGACTTGGCGCGGTACTTGCGGCCGTGTCCGCCGCCGCCGCCGCCGTGGCGGTCTCGCGAGTCTTTCCCTCCGCCGCCGCCGCCGCCGCTGCCACCGCCGCCACCGCCGCCACCACCGCCGCTGCCGCCGCCGCCGGCGTCGGTGGGACGGTTAACGAACCGGCGCTGGAGGCCGCGCGAGAGCCGGCCGACTGGACCGCTCTCAGCCGAGTCGCTCGAGTCGTCATGCGAGTCGCGGCGCGGCAGCTCCTTCACCAGCCCGATGGCCGCCTCGCGCTCGCGCTTGCGCTCGTCGTCGTCGCTGGCGTCCGACGACGAGCAGCTGGTGGTGCGTGAGGCGCGCGAGCGGCGCCGACTCTCCATGCGACGCAGCAGGCCGGGCGACGCCAGCGTGCGCGTGGCTAGCGGCGTCGGCAGCTCCTCTTCCTCCTCCTCCTCCTCGTCCTCGTGGATCTCGAGCAGCTGCGGCGAGCTGCGCACGGCGTGTAGGCGGCGCGGCGGGCCGGCGGCTGCCTTGAGGCGCGGCCCGGCCGCCAGCGACGGCGACGGCGGGTTGGACGAGTGCGGCGACACCAGCCACGACGACGGGCTGCCGGGCGACGAGCTCAGCGACGACTGCGGCGTGTAGCAGTGCAGGCCCAGGTTGGAGGTGAGCGGGTACGGCGCCGGCGGCACGGCGCGCGCCGCCGGCTCCAGCGGCAGGTGCAGCTTGGGCGAGGCGGCACGCGGCCGCGGCGGCACCAGCACGGCCAGCGAGCCGCCGCCGCCACCGCTGACGCCGCCGCCGACGTTGCTGACGCCGCCGCTGCCGCCGCCGGCCGCCGCTAGACCCTCGACCACCACCTGGCGCGCGTCCGCGGGCCGCGGAGGCTTCTGGTCGCCCGGCTCCGCCGCGTGCGCCTGCGGAGGGAGGCACCTGGTTGTCATCTGGGGTCAGGGCACGGCGCGTGGTAACGGACCTTGGCCTGGACGACTCTGAGCCAGCTGGACGGCGGATTGTTACCAGCGCGAGGACGACCTGCCAATAAGGCTGGAAGCCAGTACACCAGAATATCTTAAGAGACGTACATGTCCAGCGTCACCTACAGCCCAATGCAGCATTTCTGCTTCTCCACTACGCACACGTACATGGGAACCCAACGCAGCTTCGAACAAACCTGCGCACCACATCAGCAGCCACCACCATGATGACGGTTATTTTAGTCTTAAGACGCGTCCACATCCGCGATCATTTCGCGCTCCAGACACCAGCGTCAGCGCCGAAGGTCCGGACAATCTGACCGAACGACCGTCATATTTGAGGACCAGTCGACCCGGCGCTGCCTGCGCCGCCGAGCCCACGCCACCGCCGCCACCCTTCCCCTCCCCCTTCACAACGGCCTTCCGTCGTGAAACCCCACCCCGTCGCCCGAGCCGCTTGCTCAGCACGCCGAGCAGAACCGACTGCGTCAGCGGCGGGCTGGACGGCTACCGGCCGCGACTGGCAGGCGGGGGCGCCGCCGCCTCCCCCGCCCTGAGGCGGCAGACACGCGGGGGCGCCGCCGCCACCCCCCATCTGGGGCGGCAGACACGCGGTGCGCCGCCGCCACTCACCTGAGGAGGCAGGCTGAGCGGCCGCGCGGCGCCGACCGGCAGCCGCGGCTCCTGCGGCGACAGGAAGTGCACGCCCGACGACGGCCGCGCGCCCGGCGTGCTGGCTGTCGGTCGGCTGGAGAGCAAGGAGGAGGCAGCGTCAGGGGATACGCACGGACCAGGCCGAGGCAGCACGAGTCAGCCCACCGGAGACGGGCGAAGGATGGGTGATCGAAAACAACCAGAAAGAAACACAGCACAAACCAGTCAGTTCCGCAGCAGTACCGAGCATATTCAGAGTGCAGAGAGGGTGATTCGAGCATGACAGAGACGGATCCGCAAGATCCCATGTAGCTAATATGAACATAAGCGAAACACAGCATATGCAAACCGTCCTTCGGCGACTAGACAAGCTATGGAGACAACTGCCTGGCATTGTCAGAGGGTTATCCATTGATCAGTCACAGTCCCAAGGTCACCACACCACAAGACAGGCAAGGCGGCATCCAACCAATCGCAAGTTCGGACACAATACGGGCGCTCCAGGCGGCCAATGACACTGTCCTGAGCCTGACACTGGCGGGAGCCTGACACCTGACACCGTCCGAAGCCCGCCACCTGGCACTGTCCGGAGCCTGACCTGACACTGTCGAGAGGCGACAGCTGCGCCCCCTGCACGGAGGCGGCCAGCGCGTGGTGATCGCGGGCCGCCTTCAGCCGCCGCTCCGCCAGCAGGAAGTAGGTGGCTGTGATGTAGTTGTACTCGTCCCGGTCCAGCGCCCTACGTCATGGGGTGGCGCGCGTCACACACGCGGCACAGGGGTCAGCGATAGAGCAAGGCCGACTGCTATTCAGTTTGGCAGGCAGCGGTACACATAACGGACACACTGAGATGTTCGGGCACATCGAGCGAGACGCCCTCTAAAAAGGTCGACGCCGGTGTTATTACGCCGGTGTCTGGTGAATGACGCTCCAATCGGCCGGCATCTGACGGTACCTTGTTCATCGGTCAACTCCGGACGGTGACGGCGTACCGTTAACTGTTCGCACGACACGTACAGACGCCGAATAGACGCTGATGCTGATCTGTTCATTACACCGACGCGAACCGCATCATCGTTCAATATTTCAGATCGACCAAGCCCAGAGCTGGCTGCGGCTTTTATATCTGCCACCCTATTGAAATCATTTCAAGGTTACGAAACAGCATCTGTCCATCGAATATGTGTTGCATTCACGCAATGCGCCATGAGGATCCCCGCACACAAGCACGGCTCGGTGTCTGAGCTCCGAGCTCGTGGAATGCCGCCGGCGCGCTAGCCACTCACTCCAGTATCTCCTCGCGGGTGCCCAGCCCGCCGTTGGCAATCTTCTGCACGATGAGCGCATGGTCCTCCTCGCTGAGGTGCTGCCGGGTGACGAGCGGCACGTAGGCGGTGAGCGGATCGCCCAGCTCGGCCGCGTTCAGCCACGGGTCCGACTCGATCTCCTGCAGCGAGGCGCGCAGCGACGGGTCGCGCTGCAGCATGCGGCCAATCAGCCTGCCGGAGAGGACGCGGCGAGGTCAGACAGCCAATCGGATGACGGGACGATGCAGCACACGGCGGCAGTCGACCAATCGCATGATCGGACACAATACCGGCACTTCAGACGGCCAATCGCAACGCGCAGCGACGCAGCCCGCTGAGACATTCGGCCATTCAAATCGTCGGACACAAGACAGTCGCACCAGCAACGAACCACAACAGAGGTAACGACGGAGACTGGTGCAGCATCCATACAACCAGAGTACAACACCAGTCCAGATACATGCGCATGGTTCTCACTTGGCACGTAGTGACTGAGAGTACGGACGGAAACTCTGGCGCACAGATGCACCAGAGATCAGTGCCAACTGTGACGACCTAAAAAGGTCCGCCACCTGCTGGGTGGGGACGTGACCAAGCTCGCCGGACGTTGTGTGAAGCCGACTCCATAAGCAAAAACCGCCCAACGGGCTTTCTCCAAATCAGCATCGATCAATGGCAAACGAACCGGATCATCACCGATGCCAAACTGGTCAAGTGACAGCCTACAACAGTTGCAACAAGCGTGACAGCCATGACTCTTGTCAGACACCGCTGGTCACACTTTTTTATCGCGGGCTTCGTCGATCCAAATACAGTACGATTTTATGAGTGCTCCACAAAACTGCCAGCTCTTTTAACAGACCACAATAATCATATCACCTTCACATTACACTTTAAACAGACCACAACAATCATATCATCTTCACATTACACTTTAAACAGACCACAATAATCATATCATCTTCACATTGCACTTTAAACAGACCACAATAATCATATCATCTTCACATTACACTTTAAACAGACCACAATAATCATATCATCTTCACATTACACTTTAAACAGACCACAATAATCATATCATCTTCACATTACACTTTAAACAGACCACAATAATCATATCATCTTCACATTACACTTTAAACAGACCACAATAATCATATCATCTTCACATTACACTTCAAACAGACCACAATAATCTTATCATCTTCACATTACACTTTAAACAGACCACAATAATCATATCATCTTCACATTACACTTTAAACAGACCACAATAATCGTATCATCTTCACATTACACTTTAAACAGACCACAATAATCATATCATCTTCACATTACACTTTAACAGCTTCCTTCGCCCTTGACAATCACGTAAGGTCAGGGCTCGATGGCTACCCACTACCGGTTTACTCAGCGGCGGATCGAGAGCACCAGCTAAGAGGGGGGGGGGGGGCATCACCGATTTGGGGGACTAGTGCTACTTGGCCCTATCGTCGCTGAACGGAAAGCGATAACCAGACATGGCTACCGTCTCTCCCCCCCCCCCCCCCCCCCCAATTTGTGCCGTTGCCGCTCTCAAGGAGTGTTTTGAAGCAAAGTTTTATTCGTAAATTGGTAACATTTCACTCAAAAACAAGACTTTACCTTTTTGCCCGATCTGCTCCCCTTGGGGCAATGGGGCGGTTGTTGTTCCTTCTGACGGGGTCCGCTCCCAACCCTCACACACAATTCTAACCTATCCGGGCTCATGCTGCCTGACTGCCGGCGCCACCAACAATCAGTGAAATGCAGCACCAACAAAGATGGCGCGTGCAACACGTTTCAAATATATTACTGCGCGTCACCGACGGTCCATAAAATATTGCCATGTCATCGGCTGAGCCTTCATGAAATTAATCATATTTATTCGTGCACCAAACCGGCATCATTTCCGACTAACCAGACTTTTCTGTTGTTGTTGGTTGGAGTCTTGGGGCGCGCCGACTACGGAGGTCATTTTGCGACCAACGATTTTCTCTGTCGTAAAATTGCGGCTAGCTAATATCACAAAAACTGATGACAAACAACACAAAAAGTCAGAACAAGTCCGAGTTTTGACGTCTGTCAATTTGTGGCCATCTGGCGCACTCCGTTTTTGGCGACAAAGTTATTGCGTCAGTAGCCGAAGCGAACGCATTTTGGGATGGGCGCTGGACACCCACTGCAAACGAACTAATATTGTTTACCTCAAAAACGTGTTTATGAAAGTAAATATCAGCGAGCAATCACCGATAATTTTCAAAGCGTCCAGCACTAGGGATGCACTGCCATCGGCCGACAGTCTACCCTGGTCCCGTCCACTTCACGAATTATTTTATGTCTTAACTTGCTGGTTAAGCGAAAGTTACTTGCTGGCTAACTTGTGGTCTGTTCAGCCCAATGCGCTGCAATTGAGATATCCGTTAAATAGCATGATTTTCAATCCACAGGACCAGCTGACCGACGTCACGTGGGCAGCGCCAGTTCCGTAGCCCCAGGGCCAGAGCCAGCCGATGTTACGGACCTCAATCCGCACTACGTGCCACGTGAGACCCGCGCACACAGCGCCCCAGCAGAGCCGAGACGCTCTAACCGTTCGCTGACCGACCGCGCCACACCGCGCCGACCGGCTGGCAACGGCCGCCATCCTGTCCAGGCCGGACGCGGCCCTGACGCCCCATGTCGGGCGAGCGACGCGTGGGGCGCGGCCGTGCCAGCCCGACATGGGAGCCGATGCGTGACACCCACGCAGAGATGTAGGGTACAACGGCGCGCGCAGCACAGAGCCCTCCGACACGAATATTGCGGGCTGAGACTGTCCCGTGCACCATAGTTACGCCACTGCCAATATCCATAAGTGTGTTGGACTTTGAGTATTCCTGAAGGGAAAAGGTACAACCGGTACGTGAGGCTTCCCTGCAATGCGTGGAGTTTTACGTGCGCGTCTTACACTCCATTAGACAAAATGTATACAGCGCAAGACGCCACGAAAGCTCAGAACTCCGAAATAATCGTCTCAGCTGGCAGCCGCCTGGTGCCATTAGCCAGTGTCCGGATCAGCTCCATATCTGGCCAAGGCAGCACATGCGTGAGCACGCCCGCACGCTCGCCGGCCGAACCCGGACAGCGCGCCGCGCGTGTGGAGGCCGCGTGCTCCGCTGGAACCGTCCGCCGCCCCCGGAGGGAGAGCGGCGGCGACGGCGGCGGCGCCCTCGCTCTGCCGGCGGCAGCTGCCGCGGCAAGAGATCGATTGGCAGACGCCGGCCGTCTGAGGACGCCGTACAGACCCCCAGTCTGCTGACGTACCGACTCCCGGATCTGCTGACGTACCAACCCCCGGTCTGCTGACGTACCGACCCCCGGTCTGCCGACGTACCGACCCCCGGTCTGCTGACGTACCGACCCCCGGTTTGTTGACGTACCGAACCCGATCTGCTGCCGCATCGGCTTCATATTAACGTGATGTCGGCTCCACCAAGCACCTCACAAAGCTTTGCACCGTCCAGGCCTCTATCCCTCCTCCGTTCCGACCAGTCCAGACAGACTGCGCGCTGGCCGCTCTTATGACCTTTGTACGCATTCAGTCGACCGGACTTTGACCCGATCGGCCGTTCTCTGAACACGGCGGCCGCCGGCTCGCGCCGACATCCTTCAGTTGCCGGCGACAGACTGGACGTGCGACGGCACTCGGTACCACCTCGAGCTCCGACCAGCCCCCCACACACACATACACAACCATAAACAAACACTGGAGACGCAGGCGTTCGGCGCGGGCCTTTGTCAGACGCCGACCTGACGGCGCCCAGGTCGCCCGACATGGATAAATACGGAGTGGAGTCGCCCGCACGGATGCCACGGGAGGCGACTGCGCGCGGTGAGTCGTCCCCGCATGACGGCTGGCGTGAGCTGGTGCACGGCACCCGCCTTCGCTGGCGACTGCACTGGCGGCCGGAAAGTCAGACAGAGGCAGAGCCTGGAGCACTCCGCGCCGATCCAGTGCGATGAACAGCCTCTGTCTCTAGTGCTCACCTCTCGCACTGCACGCAAACGTCGGACCGCGCAAGTCAGCAATTTAGAAGGTTCTTTAACGATGCACATAGACCTGCTAAAGGCGCCAGCCACAACCCTCGCCCAGCCAGTGAGATTTCCTGCGGCGGGGACTAGGCCAGCCGTCTCCGCCGGGCGGCGCTCGCTCCGCCTGCCTGCCACCGCCGGCCGTATGGCCCACGAGGGTCGCCGCCCGCCTGGTCGGAGCGGGCGTGGCGCGCGCGGGGCGGCCGGAGCTGGCGCGCGGGGCGTGCCGCCGCCTCACCTCAGGCGGTGATCAGCCTCTGCCGCTAACGACGCCGGCACGCACCCTTCCGCCGGCTAATGGGCAACGTCGGAGCCGACGGTCCCGAGGCGGCACCGGGCAGTTCCCGGGCGGTCCCGGGCAGTCCCCCGGTGTTGGAGGAGGACGGATGTTGTCCAAACATTTCTCTGCCACTCCAGCTGGCTGCCGGAGCCGTGCGTTCGCGGTTGACCCATCGATTAAGATGCTTACGACTGCCCCGGAGGCGCGGGGGGGGGGCACAGACTAAAGGTCACCGAGGGGCGGTCTCCAGAGGGCTGCCCGAGATCATCAGGGTAATTCCCTAACGCCACAAGCCCAAATGCATAACACATGCATTAACTACTTATGCAGAAGGACCAGGATGGAGAAGAGCCGTCGCCGGGAAAACACCAGAGAGCGAGGCTCTACAGACCGGCGGGCGGCGGCGGCCGGGGCAGTGTCCTGGCCCGGACACACGACTCTGACCGCTCTCCCGTCTCCGAGCCACAGCCGGCCCGTCGCGATACAGACGTCCGACCGGCGCCGGCCGGCGTCACACCGCGGCCCGTCCGGCCGGTCACTGCCGACGGCACGCGCACGCCCCCGGCGCCGGCCGTGCGCGCCGCGCAACAGCGACGGACGCCGGCTCAACGACGCCCGCGAAATCGAATCGACGCCATACCCTTTCCCCGGGGCTCGTGTCACAAATGACTGGGCCGTAGTTCAAAACATGTCACAGGCAGACAGCGAGCCAAACGACCGCGGTCTATGCAGGACAGCAGCAGACAGACGTGGGACAGCCGCCGGAAAACAAGATAGAAGACGAGGAGTCGACAATGGCGAAGGCATCAACACAAAAATGGACGTACCCGAAGACAGGAATACCAACGGAATGGTCAAAAGCATATAAGAGGGAAATACATGAAGAGGAAACGAATAAACACGAACAAATAAAACAGAAAAGAGAAACATGGGAAAGAAAGCGCTAGCAATCACTCCATAGGAAATAAAAGCACATCAATGGTGAGGAAAACATTCTGAACAACAACAATGAAGTAGGGACGTATGGGTTCATCGGTGGACAAGCGGGAGCAGTCACTCGACGTCCGCGGCCCCAGGCTGGCCCGACGCCGCGTTTCGGCGCCCACCGCTGTAATCGACGTGAAAGGCCGCGGCGCCGCTGACCATAGCCATTTCACACGTCGTAAAACAACCGCGCGAGACGGCGGCGTCGTTCTGAATGCGCTGCCTGGCGTGGGCCCACGGGCGGCGCGCCGCTGCTAGCGGGCCGCGGCCGGCCGGCCGGCGCCGCCTGCCGGGGTGAGGTCTCCGCCGGGGTCACGCGCGGCAGCCGAGCGGCCCACCTCACCGCTCTCTCCGCGACCGAAGGGCGGCACCCGGCCGTCGGCACGTGGTGACCTCACGTCCGGCGGCGACGCACGCCAAACACGCGCCACGCCGGACCCAGCGAGACACGGCGGGTGGCGGCCGGCCTGCGACCGGGCGTGACGCCCAAGCGCCGCCCGCTCTCGGTCTGTCCGTGTGGACACCTTCTCCGCCGGCAGCCGGTCCCTGGTCGGACGTGGCCGTCCGCCGCGTTCGTCCGGCATCTGCCCGCCTCCTATCGATCCACTCTTGCCCCGTCCGGCCGTGATAAGTCCGTCCGTGACCTCCGGTAATCCATGCGTCGGTGGCCCCGCGCGTGTCTGTTGTCATTGAGCGGGGCAGTCGGCGCCCAGCCGGTCGCATCGGCGTCGACGGTGACCCCCGTGTTGGCGTCTGCCAGAGGCATGCCAGCATCGGGTCTCACCAATCAACACAATGGCCAGCGCGCTCTGACCGGGCCGGCGACGCCTGGTCGGCGCGTGCCCGCCGGCTCGCGGCCGCCTGCGACGGCGTGTTGGTGTCCCGGTGTCCCGCATCTGACGATCCCGCCCGTACAGAGGGAGGCGGAGGCGGCGGTGGCGGTGTATTTCCGTCCAGCTGTGGGGACGACAGTCACCGACCCCCCCCCCCCGCACGCCTCAGGGGGCGGGGGCACGGACACGGAGGCCGCAGGGCGCGCGGAAGTGACTCGATGCATCATCCCGCGCGGGAGTGTGTGGCAGCACGCGTCGCCGCCGGCGAGCGCGGCCCTGGCGCGGAGGCGCACCAGCAGACACGGGGCCAGGCAGGCCGCGGCCGCGCCCGCCGAGCGGCACTCGGCACCGATCGGAAGTGGACCGGACGACCACCGCATACAGCTGAGCCCTGTGCACAGGCCTGCGCCATCACTTCGCGAAGGCAGCCGTGACCGCTGACGTGGCCGCCCCTCGCTCCCGGCCGTGCGGTTCGCCCGCTCGGTGATTGGCCGCACCCCGGCGACGGGACGGCCGGAGCGGCGCGCGCACCCGCCAGACCCGGTCCCAGTCAAGGGCCGTACGTCAATGGGCGCTATTACGCGGCGCGCGCGCTGAATGCACAGCGCGATCGCGCCCCACACGGCCGGCAAGCACGCCACGGAAGGTGCGGACCGTGCACGTGCCGTACCCCTCCCCGACCACCCCCACCACCAACCTGGCGCCGTGGGCGGCCTCGAGGGGCGGCCGGGCGCGCTCACCTGCGACAGCCTTCGGAGACGGACTCGGGCACGCGGTACTTGCAGTCCATGATCATGGTGAGCGTCTCGCTGTCGTTGGCCTCTTGGAAGGGCGGGTAGCCGCTCACCAGCATGTAAAGCACGGCGCCCAGCGACCAGACGTCTGCGGAGGCCATCCCGGTCATCAGGTCCGGGGCGGGAGAGAGGGGAGTCAGGGTCGGCGCTGCAGCCCGGGCTGACGGCACCGGCCGGATGTCGGGTGTGACATACTTTGCAGTGGCTGTCGGCGTCGGCGGGATGTCGGGGTACGTGACATGGCGCACGCCGTGTTTGGACGCGTCGCCACTGGGGACCGAGCACTACAATCGGCTCATGTGCGACTTCACTTTGCGCTGAACCGGGCTCAGTCACGCACGCGCCAGTCAGGCTTCACGAACGGAACACTGCGCGCCCGACCGGCCAAATTCACAAACGTCATGCATGAACCCGCGTTCGACGAAGGCGGGCCTGCCGTGCTGGCGGGGGAGCCTCAGCTTGTGTTGTCAGAACTCCACATAGAAATTCGCCCGATGAGGTCGAGCCGCCTCCACACCACGGCGGACAACTCCACATCACCAGCGACAGCTCCCTTGGCACCGGTCAATCGCACCTCACCGGGAACATTAGGCCTATTGGCGTCAGGTCAATCCCACACGCGGCAGGCGGCCGCGTTCCTGACTAGGCCCGGCCGGCCCGCGCCACTCACCAACCGACGTGGGATCGTACGAGTCGCCCAGCAGGATCTCCGGCGCGCTGTACGCCAGGCTGCCGCACGACGTCTCTAGCTTCTGGCCCGGCAGGAACTTGTTGCTGAAGCCAAAGTCAGTCAGCTTCACCATGCCGAGCTTCTCAAAGAAGACGACGTTCTCGGGCTTGAGGTCGCGGTGTACCACGTGAAGCTTGTGGCAGTAGGAGATGGCCTGCACGATCTGGCGGAAGTACTTGCGGCCCAGGTGCTCGTTCAGACCGGTCTCATGCTTCATGATGTAGTCGTACATGTCGCCGCCGTCGGCAAGCTCCAGAATCAGGTACAGCTTGGTCTGCGTGTCGATCACCTGGCGAAAGAGACGAGCCGTCCGTCAGGGGCTGGTTCGGCAGCCAGACGAGCCGTGGGTCAGGTCAAGGACTCGTTCGGCGGCCAGACGGGCCATCGGCCAGAGACTGGTTCGGTGGTCAGACGAGCCGTCGGTCAGGGGCTGGTTCGGCGGCCAGACGAGCCGTCGGTCAGGGGCTGGTTCAGCGGCCAGACGAGCCGTCGGTCAGGGGCTGGTTCGGCGGCCAGATGAGCCGTCGGTCAGGGGCTGGTTCGGCGGCCAGACGAGCCGTCGGTCAGGGGCTGGTTCAGCGGCCAGACGAGCCGTCAGTCAGGGGCTGTTTCGGCGGCCAGATGAGCCGTCATCAGGGGCTGGTTCGGCGACCATCTGAGCCGTCAGTCAGGGGCTGGTTCGGCGGCCAGACGAGCCGTCGCTCACGGGCTGGTTCGGCGGCCAGACGAGCCGTCGGTCAGGGGCTAGTTCGGCGGCCAGACGAGCCGTCGGTCAGGGGCTGGTTCAGCGGCCAGACGAGCCGTCGGTCAGGGGCTGGTTCGGCGGCCAGACGAGCCGTCGGTCAGGGGCTGGTTCAGCGGCCAGACGAGCCGTCGGTCAGGGGCTGGTTCGGCGGCCAGACGAGCCGTCGGTCAGGGGCTGGTTCGGCGGCCAGACGAGCCGTCGGTCAGGGGCTGGTTCAGCGGCCAGACGAGCCGTCAGTCAGGGGCTGGTTCGGCGGCCAGATGAGCCGTCATCAGGGGCTGGTTCGGCGACCATCTGAGCCGTCAGTCAGGGGCTGGTTCGGCGGCCAGACGAGCCGTCGCTCACGGGCTGGTTCGGCGGCCAAATGAGCCGTCGCTCAGGGGCTGGCTCGGCGGCCAGACGAGCCGTCGGTCAGGGGCTAGTTCGGCGGCCAGACAAGCCATCGGCCAGGGGCTGGTTCGGCGGCCAGACGACACGTCGCTCAGGGGCGGCTCGGCGGCCAGACGACCTCACCAGACACATGGTCGCTGGGTCGGCCTGCAGCTAGCGTCTCGCACACTTCTGACCGCGAGTCCATCACCTGGCGCCCGACGCAGACGCCGGAGCGCGCCGGCCCCACGCCGCGGCGCGACCTTTCAGATGACACATCGACCGATGGCCGGTCACGAAACAATTAATCCCGGCCATGACAGGATCGACCGTCACAGGATCAATCGGGTCGGTCGGGCGTCTAAACACGCCGCCGGCCCGTCCGATCGCACTCGGGATCATTCGCCGCCGACCGACGCGCGCGACGGCCGCACCCGACGCGACTGAAGCGGGGCACACGACCCGACAGCGGCCGGACCTGCCATTTCCGGCCTCATTCATTCATTCATCGGCCAGTGCAGCGATCGCACACGGCCCGGCGAAGGCGCAGAGCTGCAGCGTGCGCCGCGACTGGCCGCGATTGGCCTGCGCCGCCTGCCCGATATAGAACTGGGCTGCGTGGGGTCAATGCCGTGCAAGGCGTTGCTGTCGACGCCGCGGGCCGGCCGGATGACGGCGATTCTCCGCGATATCGCCGGTTCCATCCGACCAATCAATGCCGGACCGGGACCGCACAGGACTCAGACCACACGAGGCCGACCGAAGGACAACCCCTGAGGTCACCGAGGCCCGAGGCCCCGTTAACGGGTTTTATTTTTATCCAGCAGCCTCGCCTTATCAGAAAAGTGGTCCACTGTGGTCCACAAACTGTTTGGGGCAGACGGCACGGCCTCTGAGGTCGTTTACCGATTTGATTACCGCACGCCGCCGGGTTCACAATCCCAGTGCCATAACGCCCGTTGGGCTTTATGTTCCTCCACTATCGTTCGAACGGGCCGAATCGCGGAGAAAGCCGTTCGGTGGCGAACAATAGCACGGCCAGGCCTGTCCGCTGTGGCCCTCTGTCGTCAGCTGACATGCCACACGTTCGCTGGGTGATACAGTCCGCAGCGATGCCTCCGGCAATCGAGGCTACCGAACTGCCGCCCGCTACATTCAAAATCAGACGCGGCATCAGCTGAGCATCGAGCCGCCGGCTCTGGCACGAGTCACCGCAGCCTACAGACAACAATCAACGCCGTAGTTACGCATTGGGCAGCCCAATGCCACTTCAATCTCGTTCATAGCCAGCTTGAAAGAGAAAGGGGAGCAATAACCAAAAACTTTGTTTCTTATCGGATTTGAACCGCTTTCCTCTCAATATTGGAGGCTAACAGGTGTTGGTGTCGGTGTTGGTGTTGGTGTGGATGCTGGATGTGGATGTGGATGTGGATGTGGATGTGGATGTGGATGTGGATGTGGATGTGGGTGTGGGTGTGGTGTGAGTGTGGATGTGAGTGTGAGTGTGGGTGTGAGTGTGAGTGTGGGTGTAGGTGTGGGTGTGGGGGCCTCAACTGAATAGGAACTACACCAACGAGTATAACATAACAGGTCCCCACCGCCGTGCAGGGATATTGCGATAGGTGGACACGGAGCAACGAGAGCTGGCCGGACGCGAGGCCTCACTCCGGGGCCTGCCGCGAGGCCGGCGGGTGTTCCCGGCTCGCGGCCGAGCTGACCGGCTCTGCCCACCACCGACGTCCGCCCAGACCTCAGTCGATAACTGCGCGGCGTCGGCACCACGCCGCGAGCAGCTGATGACGTCTCGCGGACGGGACGTGGCGTGAAATGCCGCACGCGCCACCCATGCTGCGCCACAGCACCGCTGGCAAAGGTGCTCAGGCAATAGCGCGTTGTGGTGCTGCCAGCACAAAGCACAATATTTCCGGCACAATTTCATACTCGTTTTATTTATAGATCACCCCTCATTACTTCCTATGCATGAATTACCGTAAATAGAACTCGCCATACAATTCATTGCATTCGCTGTAGGCTACATATGTCCGAAGTTAATGTCTGAAAAACATCAGATGGCAATGGCGAATGTAAACAAAACGCCGGCCGACAGTCTCAACTGACATAGATGCTCGAATTTCAAAACTCATTTATGATACAGATCATCACACTTCATCCTGGACACATAACTTCTGGAAATGAGGACGACCAATTCCTGTGTGGGCTACTTATTTCCCACATGATCACTCGAAAAACTCAAGCTAGCCAGCAACCCGATATGGTTCGTGCTATAGCCACGGCTCGGATTTACCCCGTATTTCTAATACGCTGCCCGCTAGCGCAGTGGGGCTGATTCCGTGAACGTCCAGCGAGCGGCGCGTCACCACGGGGCGGGCGGCCCCGGCGGCCGGCCCTCAACAAATACCCCGGCGGCAGCAGCCCGGCCGCCGAAGCCTTTCAAACCAGGTCGGCAAAAACGGACGGCAGCCGGGCCGGTCGCGTCCGCACGCCGACGCTGGACAGAAAGGTGGTTCTGAGTGATTCAGGTGAGCGGTGTTTCCGGAGCTGAGAGCTGGTGCTGCCCCCCCCCCCCCCCCCCCGTTCCCCCGGGACGCAGAACCGCACAGACGACGGGGGCGTGGATTCTGCGATCTAGCCGCGTGGCCAGACCGACCGCCACGCGCCACGCTGTCGACTACAGCGGGCTCGCTCGCGAACGGGACACGCCCGACACCCGCTCATCACCATGACAACGCGTAACGCCACTGGAAGGTCCAGTGCGTGTTTCACAGCAGTAATTGCCTCCCACGGACAGCGTTGGTCATTTGCTATTTAAACGGAATACGAACGTTTCATGGCTCGCTACTCGCTAACTGTACATCGGATCATTAGTACGACGCCTACCGTTCCCGTCGCTCGCAACTTCTACGGTGTTAAATGCCTGGCGTCCATGTCCGGGCGACAGCCGGGATTTTCTGAAGGAGGGGGGGGGGGTGGGGGTCTCGGAGCTTCATAAGCACTCATAAGAGAACCGAGGGTGCCGTCCACGGTGCTAAAACAAACGAATGTAGTCTTATGGGAGGGGGAGGGGAGGGAAGGCTGGGTCCTCAGGTACTCCACTGGGTGCACCCCTGGTCACTGTGAGCTTCAACATTGCGTAAAAACGCACGATGCACATTATCGCATCAAACTACTTTGGCAAAAATGTCCTGACGGTGCAAGGCTGCGTTCATGGTGGTTCATTACGAGGAAAGCTAATGCAGTAACGTTATCACGAGGGAGAAGTTCCTTATTAGCTAACCAGTAGCGTTAATCAAGATGTGCCACAAATACTAGTAACGGTAGTTCCTGCATAGCAAGCACCCCACAACGGGACGTCCAGTGCACGGCTCCGTAGAATGACAACCGGGGCCGATGAGCTGGCACCAGGAATCCAACGCGCCTCCACACCCAAGCCAGTTTCGGCAGCCCTTCGGCGCTCACACACGCCGCCCTCTAGCGCGACACGACCTATCGCCACGTCCTGCCGCCACACCCGCTGGCCGCTGCCGGTCTGGCGTGCGGAAGAGGCGCCTACGCCAGGTTCGGGGACAGCATGCTCCCCGGGGTGCCTCCGCCGGGCTCAGGGACAGGCTGCTCCCCGGGGTGCCTCCGCCGGGCTCAGGGACAGGCTGCTCCCCGGGGTGCCTCCGCCGGGCTCAGGGACAGGCTGCTCCCTGGGGTGCCTCCGCCGGGCTCAGGGACAGGCTGCTCCCTGGGGTGCCTCCGCCGGGCTCAGGGACAGGCTGCCCCCTGGGGTGCCTCCGCCGGGCTCAGGGACAGGCTGCTCCCTGGGGTGCCTTCGCCGGGCTCAGGGACAGGCTGCTCCCTGGGGTGCCTCCGCCGGGCTCAGGGACAGGCTGCTCCCTGGGGTGCCTTCGCCGGGCTCAGGGACAGGCTGCTCCCCGGGGTGCCTCCGCCGGGCTCAGGGACAGGCTGCTCCCTGGGGTGCCTCCGCCGGGCTCAGGGACAGGCTGCTCCCTGGGGTGCCTTCGCCGGGCTCAGGGACAGGCTGCTCCCTGGGGTGCCTCCGCCGGGCTCAGGGACAGGCTGCTCCCTGGGGTGCCTTCGCCGGGCTCAGGGACAGGCTGCTCCCTGGGGTGCCTTCGCCGGGCTCAGGGACAGGCTGCTCCCTGGGGTGCCTCCGCCGGGCTCAGGGACAGGCCGCTCCCTGGGGTGCGACAGACTGCTCCCTGGGGTGCCTCCCCGCACCACCGGCCGCCGCCGAGCGCGAACGGGGAGAGCGTCGCTGCCACGTCACAGGGCGCCCGCTCGTGACTTCCTCCGGAGCCGGTCCGGGCCCGGTCTGACTGGACCGGAAGCGGCGGCCGTCGCCACGATCCTGATCACCACAATGGGGATGGCGGTGGTGATAACCGCCCCCACAATGAGCGTAATCGATGCGAATACGGTTGCGACCGTCCATCGCGTTGCAAAACCGACGAAAAACGCGACGAAACGTCGCGTTGCAACACCGACTGCCATCATCGCTATCATGGGCGCTGCTGGGGCCCTTTGACCCAATGTTGTTGCCGCGAAGGTCGCGAGCAGACGTCTGAGGGCACATCGGGCGCAGTGCCGGTTGCGGTGAAGGCACGAGGAAATGAACGCTGTGCAGCCATGCTGCACGACTGCTGTCTGCGCGAGTTCATCGCGAGAAAACAAGCGGCTGTTGCCACAGTCTGTTGAACAGCGCCGTCACTCTCCGCGCCGGTCGGCGGCGCCGGGGTCCGGCCCGGCTCCCCGCCCCTGCCCCCAGACCGGCTCCAAGGGCGGGGCGTCCTCAGAGGTCCGGAAGACGGCCGGCCGGGCCGTGCTCGCCCGCCGCCGCCGAACGGAACACCGTCCGGCGCCCCCCCCCCCCCCCCCCCCCCCCCGGTGTGGCTAACGACTTTATTCCTGCGGCGGCGGCGGCGTTCGGCGCGCGCTGCCGCCGCTCGCGACAGCCGGCCGCCGCCTCCGGTGCCGGCCGGGGCGGAGGCGGTTCGTGGCCCGGAGCAGCCCGGCGCCGGCCAAATATATACCCCCTGCGCAGGCAGACGCAGCTGTACACAACTCGGAGCAGGGCGCATATACATTCAGACGACAGCAGACAGCGACGGAAACAAACCCCGACGAGGAAAAGACGACGACGACGCCATCGCAAAACAGACGCGCCCCGGTGAAGCCAGCCGCCACAAAAAACGGAAGAAGTTTATCGCTGCCAATCAAAACAAGCCTGGCCAGCCGGTTTCGGTTCGCGGCGGACAGCGAGCGGTCCGCTCGGCGAACCGCTGGCCAATTGCTGGGGCCATGCCGTACCACGCATGCGCGACCAACGAGCGATCACGAACGGCCGGGAAGTAGCACCGAAAAAGCGTGTTCCTCAAATTGACACCATACAGACAGCTTGGCTCTCGCAGGCAATTCACCTGAAGACTCCATAAAAACGTCATTGCTATCGCAAGCAATACCTCAGCACCCGCAAGGTGTCAGGACGCAGATAAGGCAGACCTCTCGGCCGGGGAGAAACTCACAGTTACGCGGTGTCGTAGAACATATCAGTTTTGATTCGCGTCTTTACGTGTACCACCATGAGCTTAATTACAACTAATCCCATGATTGACAACCCGAATCCTCCACACTCTCGTAATTTTTGCACCCATAATAACGGGTTAGCGGAAAGCCTCGCGCCTCAGGGACGTCAAGCCATGCCCTGCTGTACCGAAGACGGCCAGGGCACGGCTGACAATGGCGACAAGGTGTACGGCGGCCGCAAGCCAAGTCCTCAGCAGCGCGTGACGCATCCAGGACGGAATACGTATCGGAAGAGCCGAATGTCTTCTCCGTAAGCAGTGCATGTGACGGTGCCCGCGTGCGTTGATGCGACACACACTGGGGCCACCGCTCGAGCAAGGTCGACAGCACCTCCCCAGTACCGACAGGTTCACGCGGCATCAAACCATCAAACTCAATTTTGACCACAAAGATCGCACGGTTGAGTCGCGCGCTGGCCCTCTTAAGCCTTGGCTACACATACGTCCGCTCCATGATCGCGACCACCTTGAACGGCGACCGCCTGGAATACAGAGCTGGTCAGGGTTTGGCTGAGCTCAGACGGAGGGGCTGCTGAACTCCTGACCAAATGGCCTGTGACTGTCAAAGCTTGTCTGGTCAGAGTATTGGATGGACATAATGTCCTAGCCAACATACATTAGGAGTTGGATACTGACGTAAGAAGACGACTCACCCAATACATAATGTAAGGACCGTCCTAAGCGGTTGGCTATCACAGGCTTTTTATGAGAGATACACATGACGAAAAATACAAAAATGTGTTAGAAAGTAAACACGAGAGAAAACATTCAGATCCCATGCATTTTAATCCGGCCGTTGGCGACGTCACATGTGTGACGTCGTTGCACGTGCCGCCGAGACGCCGACGCCGTTGCGTGACGCGCCGTGTGACGCCGCGTGGGACGTGAGGTCCTGGTGCGGGAGTGCAGAGACACCCCGGCCGCGCGCGACCCTCTTGACCGGCTAGACGGCGGCCCACGGCCGGGCGCAGGGCGGCTCAGCATCCGTCAACATGCCGACATTAAGCGGATTACGGACCGCCCTGTGCACACGAGATAGCCGACCCCAGGTGGCTGGCGCGGCCGCCAGCAGCCCGGCAGCAGCATGCCCCCCCCCCCCCCCGCCCTCGCCCCGTCCCGCCCCCCGCCGCCGGCCAGCACCGGACGACCCTTCTCCGAGAGCCGGCACGTGCCACCACCTCCTCAGGGGAAAGGGAGTAGGGGGTGGGGCAGGGGGCGCGACCCGCCCGTGACCCTGGTGGAGGGGACGCTCGGGTGCGGCCGGCGTGGGCCGGCCACATCCCGGCCTTGAATGTGCATTATCTGATAAACCTCTTCTGACATGCCGGCGCGCGCCCCTGGCTCAGACCACGCACGGCGGCGATACCTGACGCGCCCCTGCGGCCCGAGACTCTCGCGATACCGAGCCTCCCCCCTCCCCTCCCCCCGAACCGAGCGGGACGTCTGGACAGGGGGCCCGACCGCCGCGTCTAGACCAGAACCCGGAGAGGTGCACTACACGGCTCGTGACCAGCGGCCCTGGAGAGACGGGTCCCATGCCCGCCACCAGAGGAAGCACAACACGCGCGGCCATGGAGAGATGTGATGCGAAGAAGCCTAGGCAACAGTAATGGAGGAGTGATGCCCACAGACTGCAATAAAGACACATGTTCAAATGCCCACGTAGAAGTCTGGAAACTGGCAGCACACTACCTACGGGGATTAACCACTCCGATGTGAGCTGGCTGGTGATCATGCGTGGTTCACTTTACGACGCATCCAACTGCTGCACGCCTCCTGGCGCACCACGTCCTGGCGTCAGTCCTAGCGAGGCATACTGTGGCGCACGTGGTGGCAAGCCCCCGGTCCGGACGCCACAACTGACGCCGGCCTGCTTCACTGTGCTGCCGCCGAGCCGCGGCGCGCCCCGCCAAAGGTGCCCAATGTGACACAGGCACGTGCAAGTGATCTAGGATGGCTGCATCGCACGGATCAGTAACGGATGTACAAACAGCGCGGTTTCTACACCCCCGTATTGCCGTCCAGCAGCCATCCCATGCTACACTTTAAGCCTACATGGTGTGTTTCCATCTCAGCAGACTTACCAGCCACCCCTCCCAGCGGGCTGGGGCCAGCCTCACAGCCGCGCCGCAGCCGCACGTCCAGCTCGCGCCACTGACGCCGTCACCGCCAACTGTCCGCTGGAGTCGCCCCTCCCCGCCCAGCGCCGTCAGCGGGCGCTCACTCACCTCGTACAGGCGGACGATATGCGGGTGCTGCACCAGCTTCATGCAGCGCACCTCCTGGAACAGGTGCTCGCGCGACACGGGGTCCAGCTTGGTCTTGTCGATCACCTTGACGGCCACCCGCTCGCCGGTGAACACGTGCCGCGCCAGCCGCACCACAGCAAAGTGGCCCTTGCCGATGGTGTGCTCCAGGTCGTACATGCCGGCGATCTTGCCCACGTCCTTGCCGCGGAAGCTCATGGCGGCGGCGGCTGCGGCAGAGCGGGGCCGTGAGGGGGCAGCCGGGGTCGGGGCGGGCTCCGCAGTGTGGATTTTAGATGAGTAACAAGGCCTTGAGAAACACTACCGCTAGACAATGGATTGCCGCGATCGATATTACTACTCCAAGCAGAGGTAAAGTACCGGGATAACCCACGTTTATTCACATGCCACAAGCAGAAATATAGGGTTGCTGACACTTCTTTTCTGCAGGCAAATTTTCACATAAACCAGGAAGACTCATGTACTGGAAAACAGCATCGAATGACAGAAAACTGAATCAACAGCAACAACTGCATTCAACGAGCAACATGACAACATAACGTAAGCAAAAATTACAGAGCTCACTAATACGACGGCCCATACAACTTTTGCAACCCTTTGGTAGCTCACAACTTTAATTTTCAACGGCACTTCTCCATATTTGTGCAAGATACACCGACAAAGTTACTTGCGCACAATGTCGGCGATTTACAACCATGTTTACCGCCATCGCGTGAAGTCCTGGTCAGCGGACCGACACGGGCGCATGCGCGTATCAAGCGCTTGTGTTTGTAAATGAACATCACACCTAATCAAGCCTGGCTTTTCACAGCACTGATGTTAACACTTTTGTTGAGAGCAACAACCGGCGCGCGAGGTTCATCAACCTACACGCACGCACGCACGTACGCACGCACGCACGCACGCACGCACGCACGCACGCACGCACGCACGCACCCACACACACACACACAAACGCGCCGTGGCCCGCCACAAGCTGCTCTCCAGAAGGCGCAGAAAGTTAGATGAGAAAGCAGGGGCAGGGGGGGGGGGGGGGGGCAGCGTCGTCGGTGCGAATAGCTGGCTGACCGTCGCGTGCAGCGTGCGCGTTTTCAGTGCCGATATTTGTGAGGTGATTGGGTGTGGAACACGGAACCTCGTTTGATGTTCGTAGCGAGCTGCCCTCTCAGGGAAAACAGGGGAAACGAAAACAGAAGAGAGAATTCGAGTGAAGCCTCAGGATCTCCTCGACACTGTCCATATCGACCGACGGACATTATCACAGTCCCAGGCAGGGAAGGCTTCCTTCGGGCCTGCCGGAGCAACGTTGACAAGGCTTCACAGTGGGAGTCGACTTGATTCCTGAAACGAATCAGGTCGACTTAGGTTGGGCACTTGATTCCTTTCAGGAATCAACTGCCCAGCCTAAACTCCTGAACTGCCGGCCCACACAATTACAAGATGAAGATGACCTACGACCATTTGTCATGCCTGTCCTCTGAAGCGACATCGCAGGAGAGTCAAGAACATCGTTATTCCTGGTTGGCAGCAGCGCCCGATCGAGCCCAGCAGTGGTCACTCCGCACTTCACCAACCATCGACGATGGCCTCAGCCCTCGGCAACGGCTCCTATGAACTGGCGATCGACAGAGGTTCCACCAGCCGGTCACACAGATCACCAAGGAGAGCCACTGCGGGAGAAACCAGACAATGCTTCTCCGCAACATTCAGCCTAGTGGACCCCTGGGACGGCGAACTATTATCCGAAGATGGAGGGGAGAAGGTGGGTCAGCTTTCATTGCAACAGGTCCAGGAGTCGCCCAGCCTCTCGAAGTTCCGAAGCTGGACAGCGTAACCAGCGCAGGGGCAGCCGTCGCCGTCGTGGAATGTCTGGAAGGCTGAGATTCGACAAGACCTCCAGGCGACATCCGTACTCCAAGATCGCTGGCAGGATGCAAACTCCTCCAACAGAAATTGGAGACACACCTCCAGCACTTAGCTCGTAACTATAACTGGTACAAGAAGCAGCTTTGTCCACTTGCTTCAGTCCGTTTTTGGAACCAAATGCTCGCATTGTTGTTTCTGACTGTCATTCTCATTATTCAAGCATTTCAAGAGAGCATGGAGACACACTGATCAGGGCACATTTTAAACTAAAGTGCATTACAACCAAAGCTGACAATGGCAGAGGTTTCTTTCAGGGATCACGCCGTCGCCTTTTGCCGCGAGAAACCGGCTGAGGTTCAGCCAAGCAAAGGTTGCCATGAGTTCTTGGAGTTCACAATCATTCCCTTTAATGAAGAACTTCTGTGGGGAAGTAAGATTCCCTAACTCATTTTCTCCTTTATATCAGATAGTTCAAACACAATTCACAGTATCACCATCTACAGTGGATGCCAAGTGCCTTGTCTCTTTCATTGCTGTTCTGCACACCACCACATGGTTCTGCACTTCACTGGAGGTGCACAAAACTGGGGCTTTCTGCACAGCTTAACAAGCTTCCTAGATATTGCAATATCAAATGCCATCTCCAAGAAGTTTGCCACCACATGGTATTTCAATGGAAACTGGCTAGTCTGCTGTTCTTCAGCAAGAATGTGCTGTGCATGGTGAGTAGGATGACTGTGATGCTCCAGGAGCAAGGACTGGAGTGTCAGCCTCTGAGTGTTCAGGTGGGTCTCATGTCAAATGTCTTACAAAAAAATAAAACATTGCAGACCCCATTTGCAGTCAGTGGAAGTCCTGAATGTCTACAGAAGCAAAATGGACTTCCTGGCCACTAAAATCATGGACTGAAATATAGCACCTGTCATCAAGGATGCCAAGAAAGCCCTGCATGAGAATGATAGTGGCAAATGATTCTACCAGGAGAAGTGTGGCACTAATCAGAGCATACAGGTACTAATGACAGATGATGTACCAAAACAACTTGGAACAGTGCTCTTGCAAGTTCTGTTCACTGTGACCAAGAGATCCTTCCAAGGACCAAAAGTACACGGAGACTGAAATCCTGATCAGGAATAAATAAAACATAGCTCTAAACAGGCTTCAAATGCAGAAACTCCTGCAAAAGCTTTGCTGAGGCCTCAGTGAAAGCTAGGAATCAGTTTTACTGCATGGCATAGCTGTAAACAATTACAGTAGAAGCCTGTTTTGCAGTGGTAAATGCCAGATCAAGGCCATCCTTTGCACACACAATTTTCTCCTGGATGTAGCAATCAACAAACATCTCTGAAGGGTTTTTAAAAGGGGTGTTTAATATGTGTATCAGGCTTTGAACTAAGTCATTTTAAGGGTCATTCAGTGCAGTTCACAGCCCATCCTTTTGAAGACATCACAGTCACAAGACTCCCTTCCACACATCAGTGTAGCCCTACCCACCACCCATCAGGCAACACTTCACACCACTCATCAGGATCCCCCTCTCAACACTCATTAGGAAAACTATACCTACCAATCATGAGGCCAGTTACAAAGTATGTGCAAGTTACATAAACAGTAATATATAAGTTGGTCCTGAGATCAATAACCTTGCATTCTTGCAGCTTATGAGGTGCATGAGCACTATAGACCAGAAATATATATATATATATATATATATATATATATATATAGATATACATGGAATATATTGGCAGCATGCTTTCTTTGATACATGTTTGATTAAAAATAGCTGCAGACTTAGCATTGACAGGCTTTTTGATGCATCGTTCTAGTCTCCGGGCCTTTGACTTGGCGTCAACGCTTAGAAACTAGAATGATGGATCAAAGGCTTAGAAACTTAGAAACTAGAATGATGCATCAAAAAACTCCTCAATGCTGAGTCAGCAGTTATTTTTAAGCAAACACACACACACACACACATATATATATATATATATATATATATATCAATGTGATTTTGATCAGGAACAGATCTTTTGGCTTAAACAAATAATTTCCCCAAGTAGCATGGTATTCAGCATTGTTTAATCATGTGTGCAAGTTAACATCAATTTAGTTAGCAATAAAAGATCAGAGACAACATATGATGTATCAATTAAAACAGAGGCTGAATATCAAAACTTGAACACAAATATCAGGAACAGAAATAAAACTTCAAATAGGGCAGATTTATCTTATACCAAATACCATTTCAACATTCAAAACTAGGACCACATTAATTATTTACATATTGAATCAATCCTAAATCTTAAGAAAGCTACAAAAATAAGAGGTTGATCTTTTACACATGTTCAGGAGGTGGCAAGGATGGAGATGTTGCATGGGATATTGTATGGGAATAGCAATCTTAAACTTGCTGCCAAAGATGTAAGTGGTTTGAAACCATTACGCAAAGGAATATCACAAAAATCAGTGCTATTTTATCCTATAAAGACGGATATGCCAAGCCAAATGAATGCAACACAAAATACTTGCATATCAATCTGACTTAGACAATCTAGTGCAGACAGTTTAGCAAGCAGACATGGTATCTGCTTTCACACTTGCAGGTTCTGTGATTAGGTACTTAGGTCAATCTGCGGGAAACATGGCATCAGTGCACTAAACCTTGCACACAGTTATGATGATTTAAGATCAGGCCAAATTGTGCTGGATTTTTGCATTGCTACATGTGTGCATTGATTTCACCTTATCTAAATTACTATCCATACCATAATCACATGAAACATTTGCTTCTTTACAGACTGAAGTAGGTGGTGACCATGTGCTGGGTCATGAATGTGCAGGTTTATGACAACAATGCACTGAAATTGCTACTGTGATGTTGCTGATACAATGAACATGATAAATACCTGCATTTCTTCTACCTTCATACATACTTTTAAAAGCAGTGGCTCATGCAACATGCTAACAAAAATTAATGAGGTACACAAATTAGCCAAGCAATCAAATGAAGATCCTTTTGACCAGGTGCAATGCAACTCACTGGGAAATTAGGGTTCAAATTCAATTCAAATATGGTTTCTCTCATTCACAGCAAGGGCTTGTGCACAATGCCTTATATACACAGTTTGAGGGGCAAACTACCCACCATGTAACATTTGGGTGACTCCACCCTCCTGCCTCTTGACCCCTGCTCCGCCGCAACCGATTCTGATTGGATTTTACAGCTTAGCACATTTTTGTCCGAGCGGATGCAACATACGCGACCTCAAAACGGTGCCACTTACCCTAGTCCTTTACGCAGTGCATATGCCTCGAAGAAGTCTCGCAGCGCCCTCCCCTCCTTCTGAATTGTTTACCTCGCATAACAAATTCACTTCGACGGATGAAACACCAACTGACATGCGAGTACACCGTTCTCAAATACGCGTAACCACAAACCGCCCCCACCCCTCATCAAGAAAATAGATTACTCCGCCGTCTGGTTTGCGAGGATTGTAAAATGCTTAGTGAGGTGAAGGGAAAGATGGCAGCACAGATCTAAACAGGATATTACTAACTTGGTATTTTTGAATGCCCAAGCTTATTATGATCTATGAGTAATGAAACAGATGGCCAAAACAAGTATTCAAGTGACACTGAAAAAGCTTCAGAGTTTTTTCATCGTCAGAATTGCTTGCTTTTGTTTAGGGTCAGATGCCAAACCATGATAAACGTGTGTCATATTTAAGTTAACATCTCAGAGCTGAAACAAGCGTACCACCCTTTTAGCATATTTATTACGAGCAACACCTATTTTCCGCTAAGATGAGTTTATGACAGAACTCCAGGTCCCCACAGAAACAAAAATCATGGTACATACACAATATACTAGTCTGTATACTAAACTCATATCTCCCGACTTGCCATACTAAGATAAGACATTTTTATCCTCGGCCCTTTTGGTGTCTCCTCGTCCGTTTGGTAAGCCATAATATAAATAGATTTAAACATTTCTGGGTTGTCTATGCGAAACATTAGTTGTGATATCTGTCAAGCGTCATAAATGTGGAAGCCATATGAAAAACCGCAATGGTTAGTCCTTTTCTTCAGGCTTGATGTGCCGCGCTTGCAACGATTTCGCCGCTCTCGATCCATATCGCTAACGTGGCGTGGTCACGTGTTGCGCCGTGGTCTGTCGGGTGGTTGTCTGTGGAAGGTTCCATGACTTGCTCGTTTATGCTGCGATAATTAGTAAATGCTTGTGAGATATACCTTAAACAGGAATTCACTCACAGTTTCGGTAAGTCCTCGCGATTCTCCAGGGGAACAGAGAAGAAATGCTGTTGAGACCAAAGACGTGTTACCCGTCCAGCAATCGCCGGGCTAAGAGCATCGAATGATATAGTCGATCATGGATTTCAAGGGTTGCAATGACATTCTTAGATCGATTAAATTACACTCTGTGAGTTTCAGTTAAAGCAGCATTAGTACCTAGAAAAGTACTGTGCAGTAGGAATTACACAATGTTAATGTTAGAGGGAGTGGCTCATATTTGTGTGGGTTTTTAACCAAATTAGCCATCTTGACCTTTTGATGCCATTCAAAATCCTGTCCTTTTGCAGATCTACACCCCTCTAATGTCTGAGCTACACACCAGCAGAAATGGGGAAAAGTATACCAGAGTATTTCAGAGTCACCTTGGCATTCCTGATGTTACCATCTCATCATTCAAATCCTTCCATTCCATATGTTGGTGGTGATGAAGGCTAGAAAATACTGTTGAGGAGTTCATCTGGTATTCTAGAGATGATAACAGGTAACAGATGTGATGGCCACCAGTTGGCTCCCAATCATTGTTATGCAAGATGCAGTGATGTAACCAAACGATGATATATTGAAGAGCATCAGAGAATTATGTGGTCTGGAGCAGTCCGTCCCATTTTTTTCTTTGCCACTTGTTTCCACTTTCAGTCTTGTTTCCTCTTGTGCAAGGTATGATGATGTATGCAAACCATGGCACATTGATCAGCATATTTAAGAAACAGAATTGTGCTACCATGAGCTATCTTTTCCAGTTAAAAACTATAGGTGTAGATCATAAATGAGCTTGTTTTGTCATGTGTGATCCTTGCTTCAGTATCTTCAAATGTGAAATATTCTCTTTGACTCAGTGAACATGTGCTTCTCTGCTAAATTTGAAAAGTAATGTGACATAAGGATGTGCTCATTCACTATCAACATCCTTAAGCATCTATTGTACTCTGGCAATGTTCTAGTTTATATGACCTAAATAACATTTTAAAATTTGGCTATATGCTGTATCAGTATAATATGTGAGGATGCATGAACAGGTTACCCAAGAACTAAGGAGGGCAGCCAGGCATTTGTCATTTTTTGCATTGGACAGCTTGTAGGCAAATGCCACATGCACAATGCAGCATTTTTTATCTTGATATTTAAGCAAATTAATGGCAACATTGATTTTAATATAATATATGCAAGTAAGTAGTGCAAAAAGTGTACACAAATAGGATATATATGTTGTTCATTCTAGGACTATTATCAGCTAAAACTGATGGCTTCAGCAGTGGTGAAATTGTGGTACTATGCATTGGCATAAGTATATTTATGTTTATAGATGTCTTAGGTGCTTATAATATCTGTGTGCAGCTGCATGGGACACATTTGATGATGACCTGTATCTATTAAGCATATGTGTATGTTTATGTATGCCACAGGCACTTATTGATGCTTGTGTGCAGCAGTGTGGGACAGATTTGATGAAAACCTGTATCTATTATAAGTTGTGGTTCAATGTAGATGTAACTCCAAAGCCCCTTTGACAGCTTTGGTTATGGTTGCAAAGTCAAATTGCAGGTGGTATGTTATTTTTGGCAGGAATCTGACTGGTATGGCATATTAGTGGCTTGTATTGTTAGCATTTTATTACCAGACATGTATCCTAAAAATTCCAGAGTGATGTTGAAAATGAAAATTGGTGACTTTGATTGATGTGAAGCTAGGTGGTTCTTGTACACTGCATATTTAAGCAGAGAAGAGGGAAGAGGATGGCCAAATACCTTGCACAAGGTGTCCTGTCAGCACATTGTTGATACAATGCTGACACTGGTAGAAAGATGGTTTGGTGGCACACACCTGAGCAAGTGTGGGAACAGCTAGGCTGCCTGTCACTGAAACTGCAAAAGCCCTGAGCCCTGGAACCTGACAGCAACCATCTGGATGATCAATGTCAGGAAAAAGATGACAATGCCATGACCCAGGACAGTCAAAGATATCCAACACAAGCTGCCAGATCAAGCCTGGAACAAGCCCTGAGACCAGACGGAGAGCTCCGCCAGATGGCGCCGCAGGTGCACCTCCTCAGCCAGTGACTGCCGCGTCCTGTGTGCCCACAGCGGTGCGGCGGGCTGGTGGGGCAGCTGGGCCGGGTTCCGCGCCGGCTGCGCCACCGACTGATGGCGGACTCTCCACTGCTGCCGCCGGCGGCCGTGCGCGGCATGACGCTTCTCGACCGCGCCGCCTTCCGCCGGCCACTGGACGTGTGCGCGCTGCGCGTGCCGCGCGACAGCATCACGGCCGTCTGCAGACTGGTGAAGGCTCAGATGCTGCGCGTGCCCGCGCTGCGGCCGGTGCAGCAGGCCGAGGAGCTGGAGCCGGGACCTGGCGGGCGGGGAGGCGGGCGGTGACGCTGCCCAGAAGGTGGTGCTGCTGGACCCGGGCCAGGTGAAGGACGAAGACGATCTGCCGTGGCCGGGCCTGCGGCAGCTGGGACTGGAGCCGGCGGCCAGCTTCTGCCGGCTGCCGCTGGCGCTGACGTACGAGAACTACCGCGCCGACGCCGTGCTGCGCGCCGTGCTGCCCGGTGACCAGGACGGCTGCACCAGCTTCTCCCGCGTCGGCCACCTCATCCACCTGAACCTGAAGGAGCACCTGCTGCCCTACGGGCGGCTCATCGGCGCCGTGCTTATGGACAAGCACAGTGGCGTCCGCACGGTCGTCAACAAGCTCAACACCATCGACAACACTTTCCGCAACTTCAGTATGGAGCTGCTGGCCGGCGAGCCCGACTACGTGGTCGACGCGCGCGAGAATGGCTGCGGCTTCCGCATGGACTTTTCGCAGGTGTACTGGAACCCGCGCCTCTGCACGGAGCACGAGCGCGTGGTGGCGCTGCTGCGGCGCGGTGACACGCTGCTGGACGTGTTCGCCGGCGTGGGGCCGTTCGCCGTTCCGGCGGCGCGCAAGGGCTGCCACGTGCTCGCCAACGACCTCAACCCCGAGTCGGCGCGCTGGCTGCGCCACAACGTGCAGGCCAACAAGGTGGCCGAGCGCGTACAGACGTTCAACATGGACGGCCGCGAGTTCATCCGCACCGAGGTGAAGCGAGCTGCGCTGGAGTTTCTGACCGAGAAGCCGGGGCAGGCTCAGATGCACGCCGTCCTCAACCTGCCGGCGCTGGCCATCGAGTTCGTCGACGCGTTTCTGGGTCTCTTGTCGCCGGAGGAGCTGCCGGAGGGCTCGCATTTGCCGCTGCGCGCGCACGTGTACACATTCACGAAGGAGCTCGAGGTGGCTGAGCAGAGCGTCCGAGCCATGTTGAACGCCAACCTGGGCCGTGACGTCGCCGAGCACGTGCAGGAGGTGTTCATGGTGCGCAACGTGGCGCCCAACAAGCTGATGTATCGCATCACGTGGGATGTGCCGCGTGAAGTGCTATGTGCTGTGGCCACTGAGCCTGCTCGGAAGAGGCCAAAAATTGACGAGTGATTTTTTTTTTGGTAGATGCTAGGATTTAGGGAAACTGCCTTATAGATAGAGGTTGGTTATTCATTTGGATGACCTTTTTGGTACGCAGAGGTTCTCTGACGTGATTTTAGACCTTGTAATGATAACGCAAATGATCAGTTGCACGTCAATGCTTGTACAAAAAAACCAAGATGGACGAGATTTCGGCCTCAAGCCTTGTACGGGTTTACAACCTGCACGTGGCTGGAGGCCAAGGTCTTATGTACTTTGGCTTGCTTTTATGTTTGAATTGCTATCATTGGCATGCGGTTGGCCATATGCGTTCTTATGACAATATGGATGATTTCTGTATCGATTCCCCAATGGTATCGATGGAGGCTGGTTGGCGTAATTTTCGCAGGCGTTTCTGTTGAAGTTGGCGCATTATGGCTGGGTGGACGAAATGTCGTAACTTGGCCTGCCATTTGTTGAATTCTTGTGTCACAGCTTGGTATAATACATCCAAACTGGCCCCGGTTCTGCTTTGTTCCGCGAATTTTGCCTCAGCAATTTTTGTTGAATCTCAGAAATAAGTACGTGTTCGAGGTTGTCGCTCTGTTGCGCGAATTTTGCCTCAGCAGTTTTTTGTTTTTGAATCTCAGAAATAAGTACGTGTTCGAGGTTGTCGCTCGAGGCGAAGAAAGAGTAAACTAAGGTGCATTAAGACTAAGGTGAAAAAGTTCAGTGGTTCCAAGGTGAAATGACTAACAGTTACTAACACATGTGAGGAGTGTGTCGTTTCGTATAGTATAGCTACCGGCTGGCCGAGTTTTGCTCAAAGCGAGCCTTATCCCATAACCGCAGCTACCCGAAACCATACACCTATCTCCTTACTGCAGCCTCTCTGAAATGTTCTCCCCATAACTTGGAACCGGGAGCGCAACTCTACTCACCTTAGAACGATCAACGGGATGCGAAAAAGTTATGCGCGCCTGGGAAGCCAGAGGTACGGGGTTCGATTCCCCGCGTTGCCCGCCCTTCCTGCCAAGGTGAGAGGCAGGCAACGCCATATAGCCTCAGCAGCTGAGTGCGTCGTAAATCCCCAATGACATGACATGAGAGAGTTGTGTAGGACATGGTTGTTCGTTCGGTCTCTAGTCGTCTGAGGGCAGACACTGATGGTCCCATTCCAGACTTCTCTGAGATGCCAGTCGTATAATGGGAAAACGTAAGCGCAACTCTGTGAACCCGTTCAAGAAGGAGAAGGAGCGGGCTAGCAAGAAGGGGAACCCCATCTACCGCGTGGCCGGCGCCGGCTTCAAGGCCAAGTCCGGCTCCAGGAAGGAGGTGAGCCAATGCTTCGGTGCCGACCGCGCACGGAGCTAGAGTAAACTCTCGGAAGCTCCCTGGGAGTCAGGTGGAATGCTTGTGATTTTGCATCTGCCGGTGCTGCCCGTCTAGCTGCGATGCACATAGCGCTTCGAGTGACGTCTTGCTTTATCTCGAATTTCTTGTAAGTGCCTCAGTAGCAGCGGGTTCGCTGCAAAGTGGTTTTACCTCTTTTCATCTCGCACCACAGGTACAATGTTGTCGAAGTCGTTACGGAGGGGGTAGGGGGAGACTCCCCTCTTGTAACCCCGCAATTCGTCGTCCCTAACGCACATAAGACATGTGGTGCGCATCCCTTGTCTGCGCAGGGCGCACCTCCGTATCAGGTTAAGCCCGACAGCTTACTCACGGTTTGCAGTCGTCGCTTGTCCCATCTGTCGACGCGTGCCATCGAAAGTCTGCAGCTTGTTTACGGCGGATGTAATCCATCGTTGCTTGCCATTTTCGATGCGGGCGTGCTTTGGAAAACTGTCAGCGTCTGGAAAACCTTTCGTGTCGATAGTCGCGGATTCTGTTTATACCTGCGGTTGGAGAAACTCGCGTACGCCGGCGTTGGACCACCCACTAACGGGCATTCGTTGCTTTCAAGCACATTAAGCTGCCTTCAAACACGTCACGTACTATGCTCGAAACAGTTAGCTTCATGAACCGAATGTGAGAGTCCCGAAAATGTTGAGAGGGATGTTCTGTAGCGTATCAGACCCTTCTTGCCTGAGCAGTACGCAACTCCACAAGTGATGTGTGTCAAATCGTCATTATGGTGTACCGACCAGTGCAAAGATGTCTGGGACCTCTGCCCGGTGGTGTAATGCCTGAGTTGAAACCATTCAAGGCGTCGGGCTTTCTTTCAAACCTAGCCGATGAGCTGGCTCAAACTGACTGCAACATTTGTTTCGTCTCGCCTGTCGTCCGGTGCATGTGCCCGTCTCGCTTCGTGAGGAGCTAATGACCAAAAGCGAGCACCGGCGCGCTTGATTGGCTGAGTCATAGGAATGGTGTGATGGAACAGGCCAGTGAACTGTTCTTAAAGCCGGAATAGCTGGCGATTTGCTGTCATTTTTCGTAACAGCTTGTGGCCTTGGTCGCCCAGACACCGCACTTATCTAAACATGCTAAGGTGAGCTGCGGACCTGTGTCATTGTTGCGGTCATTGGGTTACAGTGGCGGCTTTGACCTAACGCTGCGGGAGGCCGGGTGAAGTGGACGGCGCAGGGACGTGGTGACAACATCGATGACGGTCCGGCCAATATCGCCGTCAAAACTGCGCCGCATTCGGCTGGCGGTGTCTGTTTGTCCACCACAATCCATTTGCAATGGCGGTTGTTTGTCTACCACAATCCATTTGCAATGGTCGTTGCCCACGGGCCGATGAAACGGCTGGATGAGGAAGGCTATTACGCCACTTTCGTCGTGGATTTCGTGGTCTGTACCTGATCTGAATATTACATAGGAAGGAAAGGCAGTATTTAATAAAGTTACTTGGCTTAAAAAACAACACAAAAATTACTGATCATCCCTTGATGAATATCCATGTGAGCGGGATTTCTTTTTACAATTCATACCATTGCTCATTCGACCCGTACCTCATCCTGGGGCACCCGTACTCTCATCGTCTCCTCTCTCATGACCTCACCGTCTGCTATGCTTTTCAATCCTCGACCTCTTCCATTCCTGCATTCTGCAGAACTTTTGCTATTTCCAAACCAGCCACGTGCGCTGTGTGCCAAGAAAAAACTCCCGTTTGGTGGTATTAAGTGTCGTTTCGCAACGGCTATGTGCATCGGCCATTTGCTTCGGACGAGGTGTGCATCGTGTACAAGGATTTGGAGCGTAAGCCACATAGCGGCCCTTGTGAAAGCATTGTGTCACAGACGCGGTATCGGCGGGCATATTGGTCTGAGGATGATGAAATCCTGCTGCATTGTACCGTACGACAGTTGTGCAAGGCACAGTTTGTTAATATCTGATTGCTTTGCAGCCGTGATGTGAGGCTGACTATCGAATGCCGCTGGGATGAAAACGGTGCGTCGTTCTTGCTGTGCATCTCCAGTTCTTGTCATGGTCAGCTAGTCACGTTTCAAACCCTCACTGATTTGTCCACAGTATCCAGTGTGTCCATACCGTCGGTTTCGCATCGTTCTTCGTTTCATCAGACGTGCTCATGTCATCCTCACATAATTCATTTACAGGTGAACCTTCACAACCAGGCTCTCGTCGAGGCCTTAGACAAGCAGCTGGGAGAGCAGCAGAAGGAGCTGGCCCTCAAGAAGCCAGCGGAGAAGAAGCCGACGGACGTACCCAAGAAGCCAGCGAAGGCCTCCGCTGCGCTGCCGGAAGAGAAGTCGGTGGACGAGCGCGTCGACGATCTCTCCGAGTCGCTGATGCTGTCGTAACACCGGCTGCACTAGCCAGCGAGCACCTATCGTAGTCAGCACACCGGTAGGCGCCGCCGCGAAGGCAACCCGTCCTGCGCTTCAACTCTGCCGGCGTTGCGCCGTTGCACCGAATCTGCGTCTCAGCAGCCGCCCGCCGGGGAGCAGCGGCCGCCATGGAGAACGACGTTCTTGACTGCCTGGATGACCTGCAGTACCCGGGACCGTGCTCGGAGCCGGCGGCGCTGACGGCGGCGCTCGACGGCGGCCCCGAGTCGGCCCAGTTCCGCCAGCTGGTGGCCTGGCTGGTCGGCCAGCTCGGTCCGCTCTGCCACCTGGAGGAGACGGTGGCGGCCGAGAGCGGCGCCGACGACTTCCAGCTGGAGCTGAGCGGTGTGCTGCGCGAGCTGCGCTGTCCGCACGCACCACTGCTCGACGGGCCGACGCAGGCGCGGCTGGCGGCGCGGCCCGCGCGCCTCCTGCTGCTCGACTTCCTCTGCGGCGAGCTGCAGGCGGCGCGCATGCTGGCGACCGACGCGCCGCCGGCCGGCCCGCCCACGGCCGAGACGCCCACGGCGGCGGCCCTCAAGCGCGCGCTGCTCGCGCTCAACTTCCCCAAGCCGCCGGCGCAGATCACTCCGGCGCAGCTGTTCTCGAAGGTGGAGCAGAAGCTGGGGGAGGTGGTGCGCGCGGCGCCGCCGGCGCTGGTCGGCACGCCGCTCTGGAGCGGCGAGCTCAGCCAGCAGCAGTGGCGCCACCTGGAGCGTATCGCCTCCGAGCTACAGCACGAGTACCGGCTGCGGCGCGAGATGCTGCTGAAGCGGCTAGACGTGACCGTGCAGAGCTTCCGCTGGTCACCGCGCGCCCAGCAGCGCCAGGAGGAGGTGCTGGCGGCGTTCGGTGCGCGCCGGGCCGCCATGACGCGCGAGCCGGCCGTCCAGCTGGCCGATCTGCTGGCGGCGCGTGCCGACCTGGCTGTGGAGGAGCGCACCTGCAGCAGTCAGGTGCGCCGCAACACGCGCACCGGGCTGAACCGAGTCGTGATCGGACCCGTGCCGGACCGCGGCGGCCGACCGAGCGAGCAGCGCGCGCCGCCGCCGGAGATGCCCAGCTGGAAGCCGCGCGACGCTGGCCAGCCCGGCGGCAGGGGTGGGGCGGGCTTCCGTGGCGGCTTCCGCGGCGGCGGCCGGGGCGGAGGAGGAGCAGGCGACCACCGCGGCGGCAGCCGGGCCGGCGGCGAGTTTCGCGGCGGCGGCGGCGGCGGCGGCGGCGGCGGCAGGGGTGCGTGGCGGGGTCGCGGCGGCAGGGTGCAGGGCGCCGGCTGGACTAGGGGCAGCGGCAGGGGTGGCTATGGCGGCGGCCGAGGCTGAAGGGCTACGTAATCGATACTGACCTCAACTAACCGCTGGATTTGACTTTCCACTGGATTTGCCTCTGTCATAAGCGGACTATGTTATATTGAGATCGGCGTGGCTTGTTGTGGTTTGATTTCCTCGTTTGTTAATACAGCGCAGCTGAGAAACACAAGGTTTGGCTGCTAGAAGACCACGGTGCACATGACCTCCAAGCTTGCAAGCATCAGACTGATGACCTTTGGTCAGTGCGGTGTTGCACACTACGTTGAATAATTTGGTGTTGGCGTTTTGCATTTATTTTGTTCCTGACTGGGAAGCAGTGCAAAAGCATTTCCCTCGTTCGTCATAGAACAGGCACGCCGCATATTTTAACATTTTTAGATTTTCCGAAACCTTTGACCGGGAGAATTTTTGTGGACGGACCACACGGCAAGCGGAGTTTCTTGCACGTGTCGTTAGCCCACCACCCTGTCGCGGAATTGCAGGTTAAAGACAGGATTTGGTAGCAAAAGTTTTGCGGGACGATCTAAGGGGGTGGGAATGGGGAGATGTGGCCAGCCCTGTGGCGCAAAAGAAAACTGAAGGGCCCTCCGAACTGAGCAGATCAACGCAGAACGCAAAGATGGACCTCTTCAGACCTCCAGGCCTAGAAGAAGAGCCGGAGAACCGAAGAACAGACAAAAGTCACTTGGCTATTTTGGAGGGTTGTGCCTGGGGTCGTTTTAGAGTCCATTGCGCTTTTCCGCGGTCGTTACGCTGTTGACGGGAGCCAAATATGCTGACTTGCCGGGTATTCTCAATTGCCCCGGGCCTCCGCAGTACCCTTGGCTTCTTCACATGTGGTTGAATGGTCCTGCACTGTTGACTGTCCATCTACGAAGCGTTCTTTGCTCTTTTCGGGGTCTTACCTGTTCGAATACCAAGGCACTCCTTATCTTTACAAAGTCCTTGAAACATGTTTGTTGTGGTTCCTGTCATGAGTAAATTCGAAATGAGCGCCAGAAACCACTCAGTTAAACAAGCTATTGAGGAAAAGGGCAGTTTAGTTTTCGCCTCGGTCTGACTTTCATGCCTAAACCCATGTCAAAAAAGCTTATTTAGCTTTAATGGAATGGATATTAAATGGAATGGATATATGCCTAAGAAACTATTTCAAGAAAGTATGCCCTTGTCTAGCACTCCATTGCCACCAGATTGAACGATTCCCAAGGAGTGGCATCCACGGCCCGACTCAACCGCCGTGGGTCAGCGACCTTGCGAGGTAAATGTAATTTGCTGGACCGAAAGATCCGTCATCAAATGGCCAACAAGTATGCAGAATTTGGCACTGCTTTTGGCCGAACAGTGTGGCAAAATCATTTCGGAAAACTCTTGGAGAGGCGGGGGGGGGGGGGGGGGGGGGTGGGGAGGGCAAATTGATCTTATCCGAGCGCGTGTTACCTAATTGGCATGCGTTACAAGTGATGTTCTTCGGGGTGAGGACACTGGTCCCACTAACACTTGTTCAGAAATGGGTCTGATGGAAGCTTGAAACAAGAAAATTAAGAGTTGTGTGCCACGTACAGTGGACGAAGAATCCAGGATAAGTTGGCATAGACTCATGGGTGTCAGGGTGAATTTAAAATAAAAAAAACGTGCGGATGACCAATATTTAGCTGTTTTTCCTTGGGCTTTGCATGAAGAAAAATATGGTCAGATGGTTGCAGGCAGACGTGTTGAACTTGTGCGTTAACATTGTTAAGACTCGGGCATCAAAGCCTGGCGTTGCAACTTCCGCTTGCCGCACAGTGTCGGCCGTCACAGCTGGCACTACGCGGCGGGAGGCGGGTGGCCGAAAACGACCACGCATTGGAAAATAATGTTTCCAAATGTAGTAAAAACGCATTTTTGGAGTTGACCAAGACAGTATGACACGCGTATTTCACCAGGGATGTTTTTACGTTGATCCTCTGGGCGGATCAGCAGTCATAAATAGCACTACGAACGTTCGAGATTGCCCGCTGCGTCCATGCAGATGTGCGCTCAACACGAATGATTGGGAGTCCACGATGACGTCAATACGTGCGTGCACTTGTGGAGAAGCGTTCAAGTAATGTCATTCCGGTCGCTACTGGCACACCCCAAACCAGCTCTGAGCAGCTGAAATGACATGGCTAACCGTGACACGACCAAAACCACCTCGCTACGACCGGTGGTTAACAGAAAAAACTGTGACTTGATAGCTAAAACAACTATTGATTAAAACTATTACTTTAATAGTTGTCTTCACCCATCTTAGCTGGGACGGACGCAGCATTCTGACATTGAATTCCCAATATTTATGCCAGTAAACTTTTACGTGGCTCGACAAGAGAGGTATCCCAGGTCACCTATGTCGCTTATGCATCGGTGATTGCGTGGACTTAGAGAGCGTCCCACCTTTGGTGCGTGTTTCATCAAAAGCATGCTCTTGTAAAAACCTCTGGACTAGTTACGTCTAATGCTATTATTGCGCTTCTCGCTATCTTCGGCGACGAAAGAGAACAGAGGCGGAAGTCGCCCTGATATTTTTCATAAGCTGGGGACCCGAGCACCCGGGCAGAGTAGCACAAGCGTGCTCACGTGCACTTCAGGGACTGCTGCAAATCTGCTGGTTGCGGCTGAGTGGCCGAAACTAGCATGTTTGCGGGCGTTGTGCAGGTCCGGTCGGAAACATTGGCGTCGGCATCAAGCTGATGCCGACCCCGGCCGGGAGAAAGGGAGACACGCCCTCCAAATTAGGGCGGATCACGAAGAGCAAAAACCCGTTACCAGGTTGCACGATATACGGTAAGCTCTTCACGCCGCAATACTCTCACCCCCGGCTATCCGCAGTATCGCTGGGCAATGCCACGGCAGCGCCGTCAAGACATAATAAGGACATCCATTTTAATTATTTTCGAGTCCAAATTACGCTGTCAACGCTTTGTAACAGCACTCTGCTTCTTTCCTGCAGTTGTGACCAGCGCCGCCATGACAACCACCGTGCACACCTTTACTGGTGCAAATATAAGCACGTTTGTGATTGGCCCAATTGAGCAACGGCCTGTTACCTGAAGTTACCATGTTACTTGCAACTGAGAAGTGCATTGATTGAAGTTTGAACCAGTGCGTCGCATGGGTCACGTGATGCTCCCATTACCAAAGCCAAAATACTCCTCGAAAAGAGCCAATGTGGCAAACGCCGCAAAGGAGAAATAAAAGCCATAGCATAATATTTTGTTGAATTCAGGTTCGTCAGGTTGGCATACACTTTCGTCTAAACAGGGTTTCAAGCTTTTGTAGCCTTTATTACACAAACATTTTAACACAGGATGTTGCAAGCATTGCAGAACACACGTAAAAAGCAAGCCAAATGAAATGCATTACTTTCATAGTGGTGAGCAGGGAGTCAAATGAGACTCCTCGCGTGTGGCCGGCTACTTCAAAATGAAATTTTTACCTGTTCAGAAGAATTTCGAGAAACTGGTGTTACTGATTAAATTGTATGTGTCTGATGTAACAATATGTAAAAGTACGAAGAATGTGTAAAAAGCATCTTTTCAAAACTTAAAAGCCCCTTCAAAAAATTCAATATTAGCCACGCATCGGAGACTAGCCAGCATCGTACCACATTCATAAAGTGGAAATTGTTTCAATTTTTCCAACCACCACCGCGATCAGCTCAAGTTTCAACATCCCAAATGCTCACAGCAAGACTCGTTTTTTTTTGTCGGAATGGATCGTGCTAAAATAACACGCGAGCGTTCCGGTTGCCACCATCAGTGCGTCCTCAGTGTAGTGTTTGGTGTCTGCACTGCATATGATGCTTAATGGCGACGCCGATGTCAGTTCAACTTTAGCACTGCACGTCTTCCCGCGTCAATAGGAGGAGTTGCACTCTTTCAGTTTGGTATTTTTGAAAGCAGCAACGTTCAGGTGCGAATCACTAACGATTGCGATGTGCGTGAAGTCCATGGGAACTGTCACGCTGATAAACACTCGTGTTATTATAATTCTAGAATAGATGATGGTGATTTAAGTGACCAGCTTTACTAATATAGCGAGACTATTGGTCCGGTAACTACTGATCTGTTGATAGATTCCATAAGAAAATATCCAAGGCGCAAAGTTTTCTGAATCGGTCCGGATTTCTCTCAATCCGCACGAACTGATTTTCTTACAGCTTTCGAAAGCAATGTTTTTTGTAAGGGTTGTTACCGCTCACCCACCGCCCGCGGCTGGTTCTGGCTGAGATATCACGTATACAGATATAAGTGTAAATTTATATATGTATATACATACATATGTACATATATATATATATAGATATAGATAGATATGGATCACATATTTGTGTATATATGTGCATATATATATATATATATATGTATATATATATATATATATATATATATATATATATATATATATATATATATATATATATATGATAGCAAAGGAGGCTCTTTGTGTAGAAAACTGTAATTTCCTGCGGTAAATTTAGGATCTGCGCCAGATGCGGGTTGATGGCCGGCACGGTCTGTCCTACCGCTGACGTCAGCTGACCTTTAACGCGATTGCTATCACCAGCTGCAGCCCATCCCAGTCTAGAGCACTGCTAACTGCGAGCGCTTAAAGCGACTTGAGCCCACCCCGCCACGGATGGGTGAATCCCAAGGCAGGCGCTCCTTTCAACTGAGTTTTGTAGACATAGAAACACATTGCTTTCATCGTTTTCTGTGTTGAAGGTTTTCCATGTGCTATGCTATTGCCTAAACCCTTGTATGATTAAAATGGTGGGACCTGCCGACAGTAACCCTTTGCGACTCTAACACGTGCATGTTTGGTCTGATCTGGATTTTAGGTTCGAGCTCTTTCGGCCGTAATCGACCAGCTCTGCTGTGGTATCAAGGACAGGGTAAGCGGTGGAGACGGGCAGCCGGTGTGTATGGTCGCCTCCCACCGAGTCTTGCCGCACTAAGTGGCTCGACACTCGGGAACGCAGCAGGTGGTCGAGCTGTACTCCCCGCCGGGGCGGCCATGACGTCCGGCAGAGAGACTTGTGACCCGCAGCTCGGGGCTCGAGGATTTAGGGTGAAATGGTGATAAGTTAAACAAGATGGATAAAAATGCAGAATGTCCCCCCGGTCTTCCGAACAATACTGTGTTTCCCTTTTGCTCGCAGTTTTCTCTTCAGTCTGCGGTAAGTCCAGTGACGGATCCAGAGGGGAGTGGGGGGGGGGGGGGGAGCAACTTGTAGACAGCTGTTGGTGATCGCGAACGCTGCCCTGGACGGAAGCTAACCCAGTATGAAGTGACAGATCTGGTCAGCATTGCCTCAGCTGCCTTTACCTCATTCCCGGTGAAGATCTCCTCAGGCGCCAACAGCTTTGGGACTGCGGGCACTTCTCCGTACAAACCGGACAGGTTCGACCTGAGTTACCTCGCGGACGTTACAGCAACCGTGGAACTATTCAGGGAAAAGGCTGACGGCAAGCGAGAGGAGATGGAGGGAATCCAGAGATAAGAAGGCGGTGAACGGTACATGACAGATGAGGGAATGAAAGATACAAGAAAGAAGAGAAGTAGAAGGAGCCTGATAGAAGAGGGGATGGAGAAGGAAGGAGTAGAGGGTAACGAGGAAGGCCTAGCGAGCAGAGATAGACAGAATGTAACTAAGGAAAGTGGAACAGCGAGAGAAACCACGGAGGATGAAGAAAAGAGTCCTGCACTCGCAGAGATATCTGAGAAGGAAGTGGATATTAAACTACAAGATCATGGCGGGTTTGAAATGCATGGAAATCAGCGTTGCCATTTTCTGAAATTGGTTGGGGAAGCGGCTGAGCTCACAAATTTAACCTACCCTGTGCTCAAGTCCCGACTACCCCCTGAATTTTGAACACTTTGATTCACCTCCTTGATGTCAAACAAGGCCGTCAAATTGGTCGGTTCCAAAATTGTTTTGACGTTGAGAGATGACTTCCAATTTGAAGCCAACCTGACAGTACTAATGATTATATATGATTCTTTTATAAATTTGGTCCGAATCCTTTGAATGGATGGATTTCTGGGATCAGCGCTCACGCTAAGCAGTGCTTGTTGTGTGAGCCCTGACCCCCACCATCCGATCGCGCAGTTCCAGGCAACGGCAGAATTTAGTGGCGAAGGCTTAACGTGCCGCAATGCTCGGCACGGTCCGTCCTGCCCTCTGACGTCAACTGACCTTTAACGCGACCGCTGCCACCGGCCGCAGGCCATACCTGCCAAGGACAAATAGCGAGCGCCCTAAAGCGACTCGAACCCATCCCGCCACGGATGGGTGGGTCGGAATGCAGGCGCTCTAACCAACTGAGCCACCGGGACGGACTGATGATAATGATGATAATGCTAGTGATGATGATGTGATAATGCTAGTGATGAAGGATGATGGTAATGATGATAATGCTAGTGGTGTGTTTAGGTACGTAGTGTACAGAGGTGTCGCTTTCTAAAAGCGATTGAGAGGGGGGAGGGCAGCCGGAAAGGTTGACTTAACTTACCCCTGAAACCACTTGATTTTTCCCGGATTTCGGCCACTTGAATTGATTTCGATGTTAACGTAAAAAGCTTTTTAGAATACTCTGAAGCTTCGATTTGTTCTGCAGAGGAATTAATTCCCATCTGAAGCGAATGTGATCTGCCTTTTAATGAAAAGCTTGGAATGGGATTTAAGTCACAGAAATAAAAACCTCTGAGATAACCTTACTAAGGGACAACTCATCATTACCACAGTCGCTGATCGTGTTGTATAACCACCACAGCTATGATCATACGACAAATGCACTTGTCATTCTGGGAAGAAATATGCGTTAACTTTTATCTGGGCCACCATGTACTTTTACAAGCAGCCGTATCTTTTATGCATTTGTTAATTATCCCAACCCAGGTATTACGATTTGAAAACCAACTTGACAAACGTTTGCAGACTGGCTTAGCATGTGAAGGAGTTATGATGACAAAAACATTAGGTACATAAATGACACTATTTGGTCCTGTGGTGGTGGTTTGGTTTTTAAGGGCGCGTCAGCATCGGGGCCATTTTGCAACACTATTTGGTGCAAAAGTAATATGATACTTATGGAGATGTGTTTAAATACCAACTACCTTGTATACCAATAGTTAAAGCAATTCTCCTGTATCTGTTTGTCCCAGCATTTTCTCTTTGCTCACATGTATTGGGAGGGCTCAGAGGAGCATGGGGGGAGGGGGGGGGGGGGCTCAGGTCAGCATTGGGGGAGGGACTCATGCTCCCCCGACAGCATATAGATTCCCCTGATGGAATGCAAGACAAGGGTGCAAAAACAGGCGCACTTTTTGCGCTATCACACCAACCCCCCCCCCCACCCACTCAGAAAGCACAACTTTAAGAAAGGGATAGTAGCCCCATTTTGTTGGAAACTAATTTTCGAGGCGAAAGAAGTGAAGAGCAATCAAAAGGAAGGTTAGGGAAATATCCCAAACGACGAAAAATGCGGAAGAGAGAACAAGTCCCCAAAACACGAAGACCCAACCTCAAAGAAGGAGGTGCAGACAATGGAGATTGTCTACTTTGTTAGGAGGGTGTCGTCGGGAGAAACGAGATCTGGCTAAATCGTTTCACCGTGCACGCTAGACGTGTGAATTACGCAGCGACGGAAGCGACCCAGCAGGGTTCCTGTGTGATCACTGCTGTTCAGAAGTTGGTCAGCCCGGAGCTGATCGTGGTGCTGTGTCCGAAGCGTTTGATTGTCCATATCTGGAGATTCCTGATTTTTTATCTCATCAGCAGAGTCGGGATACAGGCACTGTTGGTAGGCTGATGGTCTGGCCGCCTGACGCCTGACTTCGCCACACTGGGGCCGCACGCACTGCCGATGTAGGTGTCCCAGTAACCGGCCGCTACTAATTTCTCCAACTGCACAGTCGGCATGCATCACGCAAGGCTTCCCACCGACTAGGAATCAGTGTTCCACAGCCCAGCGGTGAATAATCTCTACGAAATCGGACGCTGACACCCTGTTATCGCACATGTTCATGGTTTCCGCTTCACCAGTAAAACTTGGGGTTAAGCAGAAAATGTGCACTTCTAAACCGTTTTTAACAGTCTCTACTCCCACATAATGCAGAATACACTTCATTCAGAATTTGTTTGCTCCCAGGTGGTATCAGTGAACACTGTGTCGGAGGCTGTTTTTGCCGTCCGCAGATGTTCAAAGTTCGTAATTCGATGCTCGTAATTGCCCCAACTTCCCGACATATGCGTAGATCAACATGATCGCTGCCCATGCCAGACGCACGGGTGGCAATAGCTGATTTTCTACCCGTGTCGTGCTACTGAACTAACGACACTAACTAGCGCACAAGGACACGGCAAGGGGCAAATATATGAAACACTCTATGTCGATATCCTCAATTCATTGAGGGGTCATTGAGTGCAGAAACCTGCCCAAGATTAGATGATACTTTTCGAATCTCTACGCCTATCGCAAAGTTTGTTTTGTGAAATGGTTAGCTCACCTTATTGACATAGGTATATTTCGGCAAGCCAATTCAAACTTATGAATTTCATTCTTTTCGTGGTAATCACCATAAGGGGTTCATCGGAGAGAGCTAATAAATATGATGTGCTTATTTTTCATGTAATCGCTGTACCTATATGGACGAGCAGCTATACTAAATTACCTGATTTGTGTGACAGCATGTATTGTCTATAACATGTTTTTGAGTACGAAAATGGTAGCGCTATCGAATATGTGTTTGGCTTGCGCACAACATTGCTGAAAAGGTGTAAAATCGCAACCCCAGTTTTCTATTAAATAGCGGTTGGAGCGTGATCTGCCTATTGTTCTCCCCACAGAATGTGACGGAATCGTTGTGTGATTCAATAGTTTCAAAGCGGAGTCGAATCAACTCTGATACCGTCGCAAACAATGTGGATTCCAAGGCCGATTCAGCCGAGCAGCCAACGCATCGCCCCCGTATCCGATTCAAAACAACAACAAAAGATCGGTTCTCGATTCAGAGTCAGCTCCACTGGAGTCGAGGACAAGGCCGGCGGTGCTTCATACGGAGGATGGCCGATGGACACATCATCTGTGCACAGGAAGAAAGCGTCTCTATTGTGGAAGCTGCGCCAGGGATGGTAGATAGCATGTAGCTATGGCGCGAGGATGTAGCATGTAGCTATGGCGCGAGGATGTCATGGCTGTGGATTGCCACATATAGCGTCACAGTCAGAATTTTCCTTAAGGGGGTGGGGGTGGGACCAACAAATCGCCCAGCATCTGGTGCAAACCTCTTGGCTCGGGGAGGGGCATGACTCCATAACCCAGTGTTGCTACGTCCCTGCCTCCGGCTGTGGGCAGTCCATAACTGTAGGATATGCCCGGGGAAGGGCGAATGGTAAGTTGACAGAGCCTGGCTGCAGGATCTAAGAGCAGTGGCACAAGCAGGGAATGGGGCGGGGCACAGAGACAGGCGTCCCTGAGGTCCGGAGGAGCCCGAAGGGTCCCCACAATCAACCAGTGGGGTCCCTGTTGAAGGGCCCGAAGGTCCCAAATGGCTGAGCGGGGTTCACTTGATGGGAGCGCGGCCCTGCGGGCCGGGGCCTTCAGACGGCTAAATTCGTTGCGACTTGCGTGTTCACGATGGATGCTTCCTGCACTGGCTACGGTCGTGGAGGCAAAAGCGGACTGAACAGGTACTTGTGTGAATTCCGTTGTCACGCCATCGCTCATTTTTAATGAAGCACTTTAAATTTTCGTCAGGTACAATCACAAGTGCCTCCGTAAAAACTGGAGCTGCGCACTTGTGGAGCGCGCCAGCCGTAAAACTGCTGAACTAATACGGAGCGATGACGCCAGCAGCGGTGGCAGTTCCATGCCCAAAAGCGGATAGCGATGAGACTGGTGCTTTCAAGGGTTGAAAGCATGCAGCTAAGTCGGGGGCTTAGACTTAGTCGGACAAGGGTTTGTTGTGCCTTGGCAAGGATTTCGAAACAAACCGGACCTCATTGTGGTCGCTGAGACATCATCTGGTGACGCACGTATCAGATGCAGTAGCATGACCAGCTGTGGCTTTTTTAATGGACTGGCTACGCAAAACGAGTGACTTCGTCGCTGTTCAGCTGCGAGAATGTCGATGAGCCTATCTTTATTGCCGTTTCCACTCGAAGAAGTGCTTTCATATCATTGTTAGCCATTGAGATCCACAGCGGTTCAATGCATACCAATGACCATGACTGAATAATGATGAATCGCGTGCTCATAATAATGATGAATCACGTGCTCATAAGCTCCTCGACCTGATAAGGGAATTAGTTCATCATACTTATATTTGCATAAGCACGCAGTGTTTCTCGAAGATTCTACTGACCATGCAACTGACCTAGGTTAGTTGCTGATACCTCAACTAATCGCTGAACTTTTACGGATAGTCTTACTCAAGCGTGCGACCCACCACCCAGCGGATGATGAAACTCAAAGCTCCCTTTCTTGAGGGATGAGCTTCTGTCGCAGATATCTCACGCCATTGTGGTGTGTTACAACTTAGCCGACGACGTGTGGCACCGCCCAATGTTTGTCTGAGTGGCCATGCCTGTCCGCCACAGGCCTCCAATACTTATATACCAATAGTTCCACGCGGTGGTGCTCTTTACCGCGATTCCTTCGTCGACCTGTTCATCGCTCGCGAGCCCGCCACTTCACGACCCGGCCGACCTCAGCTGAACCCTGTTGACCTTAGTTGACACGTGCCATATTTTGACCTCCGTTGACTTCATCTGACCTCACGTGACTCGGACAGTCCGACGGGCGCCTCACGCTCTCATCGAGTCGAGCACCCAGCCGAGGTACGAGGCCACATCCGCGTAGACGCCCGGGACGCTGGACCCGCAACTTCGCGGTCCGAACGAGACGATGCCGATGAGGTGGAAGCGCCCGTCGGGGTCGGTCGCCATCAGAGGGCCGCCCGAGTCGCCTCGGCACGAGTCGCGCCCCTGCTCGCCGCCGGCGCACAGCTGGCCTGGCCCGAGCAGCGCCAGCGGCCTGAGGAGTCGCTGGCACTCGTCCAGGGCTCGCACGGGCACGTCCACCTCCATCAGCTGCTGGCTGGGCTCGCCCCCGTCGTGCGTCAGGCCGAAGCCGGCCACGGTCAGCCTCATGCCGAGCCAGTTGCGCTGCCGCCACTCGCCGAGCGGCAGGCAGATGCGGCCCACGTCGTCGTCCTCGCGCGCGGCGCGGTCCAGACGCACCAGCGCCAGGTCGTTGCGGTGCAGCGCTGGTCGGTGGTAGCCCGGGTGCACGATAATCTCTTCGGCGGTGAACTCCTGCGGCGCCGGCGCCGTCGGGTCTCTGCCGCTCAGGTCGTACTCGCCCAGGCGGATCGAGTGGAACCGATAGTCGGCCGGCAGCGCGGTCACGCAGTGCGCCGCCGTCAGCACGTAGCGCGTGTTGATGAGCGCGCCGCCGCACTTGAGCGTCGGCCCGCCGTGGCTGGGGCTGGTGTAAGTAAGCACCGCCAGCCAAGGGAAGCGGCCGCGGTCTGACTTGCGGCCGCCGAAGATCCGAACGCCGAGACTGACGCCGCAGACTTGCCGTCCTCCAGCAGTGGCAGGTTCGGGTGGCCCTCGGGCGACTGCGTGACGGCTTGGCCCGCCAGCGCCTGGGCAAGCGCCGCCACGTTCGGCGTGTTTATAAAGGGGCGGAACGTTGGCCGGGGGATGCTGGGTAGTCGGGGTCGCGACCGTTCGTCGGGGCAGCAGAAGAGCTGCTGGCCGTTGCTGAAGCCGCACTGCTGGTCTTGAAGCGTCATGATGCGCACGGTCGCTATACAGTCGAACTGGAAGTGGCAGACACCCGTGGTGCCGGTGGAGTCGATGCAGAGCCGGCCTTCCCTGCTGGCCTGTCGCCGGTGCCGCTCGCACGTCGTCGTCGTCAGCAGCGGCGCCACCACCAGCAGCAGCGGCAGCAGTGAGGAAAGCATCATCTTGAAACTAACCCGCCGAGCTCCCACGAACCTCCAGCTCCGTGGAGGACCCACAGCCAATGGGCAACCTCGCCCTTCGCGATCACCCCAGTCCAGTCGTTTGTGGACACACTCAGCGTCGCGTCCAGCCTCGGACCTCGCCGTCTCGCGCCGCGGCGTCCTGACGTCCGTCCGCGTCCGGACGCTACCACGGCGAGCCGAGCACGGCGTAGGGCTCTGGCGTGCCGGAGACACCGGTACCGGGCGCCGAGGAGCCGCTGCGCAGAGTGGCGCCGGCCGGCCGCGCACCAGACTCGTCTTCTCGCCGCGCGCGGCCGGCTGGGCGTCCCGACCGCGCGCGGCCGGCCCGGGCCGCCGCAAAGCCGGTCGTCCCGCGCCGGGAAAATTGGCGCTGGCAACCGCGAAAACGGGTTGCCGGTTCAGCCGACGAGCTCATGGCGGGCACGCCAGGCCATCACGGGGGATATCAATAGACGCGGCGGAACTTATAAACAAAGGATGCGGATAGGGGTCGCCATAATTTATGTTAAACATTTTTTTTGCAGCTTCCAGTCCTCCCTCTCCCTGGCTGTGCTCTTATTAGCTGAGCGAACACCTCTTCCTCGTTACGCTGTCTTAAGCATAACGTCTCCGAAAAATGACGTTCATTTGGTCACTAAATGAGCTGGAGACGCGAAACAAATCACGAGCAAGCTGCCTGTCATTAGGGGTAGCCAACGGTATCCAGCTCAAAGGTTTTACCTTGCTTCTAAATATTTTGGCATGAGTTACCCGTACCTCAGCGTAACATTCCGCTGTCCAAAACCTCCCCTCCCTTCCTCGTTACGCCTCCGTTACGTTCAATCAAGCCCTCAGCCCTATCCGTGCGTAATGTAGTTTATGGTCGGTCCATACCAATACGTTTTGCGCGTTCACTCTCTCCTGGAGATGCTCCGACATAACGGCATTCCTGCAAGCAGTTGGTACGCACCCACGGCCCAGTTAACACTTAAGTTCCGTCTTGCTTAACCGAACATGATACAAGGAAAATAGACGAATGGGATGCCGTGAGGCTTGGTGTCGTGCCACCTACCTGCTTTCCTGCTGGCCTTGGTGGTGATGTTTGACGTTTGAGGGCGCCTCGCCTTTGTGGCCGTGGTATACCCATTGGCAAATGATTGGACACGTCTGCTGTGTCAAATTCTGCGTGTTTTGTCAGCTATTATTGAACGTTCCATCGGGCACTTTCATTTTGGGTCAAGTGTAAACACTGGGGTGGGGATGGGGTGGGGGGTGGGGGCAAAAACATGTTTTTGTGAATTACAAGACACTTTCTGCCAAACAAATTCCTCACACATCTTAAAAAAGCCTGCATCTGTATAGCGAGATCAGGTGCTGGCGCCTCGGCGCTAAATAAAGCGCTGCTGCGCTACTCAGGCGTTGCAGCTTCTCGATGTGCCAGGCGGATGCAGTCGGTGCCCGATACCAGACGAAACCCGAAGGTTCTATAGTGACGGCACTGTAGGCGCTGACCGATGCCGACAATCACCAGGCAGTGGTCATCCGAAGACATGAAAGGTCTGACCTGATGAAAGGCTATGCTGTGGCCACCTGCATAAATTTTACAAAACTGTAAAATAAGATAAAGGCGGTTTTCGGCACTTTATTTTTAGAACCTCTTAAGTTTGCAGTTTTTCGAAAAAAGCAAGCTTCTGAAGTCTATTTTATGATTGTCGACTCTGTTCTATATCCAACAGGGATTGTCATTACATTGTCATTCCTCAACAGATCCACCACTGGCGGTGGGTCACAACAAACGCTTTTATTCATAGCAAAACAGCATTAGAAGCCCAGTTGAGGCCGCATGTTGGTCTTTAGCGAATCGCTTACTCAGAGCGCCACGAAATATTTATCCATATGATCAAACAAATCATGCTGTCATATCATCGTAAGCTATGTGACTTTCTCGTTGAATACAGGCATCAAATACGAATCTTTGCAGGGCGCAGGATACGTATGTACTAAAGTCACTGTGCGTTGACTGAAACTTCAAGGTACATTGCTTAAGATATTTATTTCTTGGGGGAAATGTGGCCGAATTTTTATGACTGATTTATTCACTAGTCAACCTGCGAACTTGAAACAAAAACAGCGAGGAATCAGGCACCAACACCAGGATCTCACGGCGCTATTGCCAGAAACGTCAGCACTGCTCATCAGAACGCTACCGTCAGGCCGCTGTGGCCTATTCGCTGCAGCGACGACGAGGTAAAAAACAAAACAAAAAACAATAACAACTCAAAATATAGATGAAAAAGAAGTGAAATCAGCAGTCATTTCTGCTGTCTGCAATGGCCGTGGTGTTCCTTGGGCTGCATGCCAGGACAGAGAACCTAACCATGGGATGGACTGGAGCAGATGGTCACTTTCGTGCTGGAAGTTGACGGCCCATGGGCTGTAAGACAAAGGCGTGGCCCTAGTTTGTCGGCGGCGCTGTTCACCACTTTAACATGGTACAGCTGCCGAGGTTGCAGTCAGAATAGGTCCAAAGTTGACCCGCAAACCAGACACATGACCATAACTTTCTGCTGGGCGAGCCCAAACATCAAATGTATTTTGCAGTCGCGCTAATTTGGACTCAGCCCTTGCAAATCGTCGTGCAGAGGTCCTCTCCTAATGTTGCGGCGAACTCTCCACTCATTAAAGCACCTCAACTGCAATGCTAAAGGCATGCAAGTGGATACCAAGGAAAAAACCTCGGTCATCTTTCTGTTCTAAATGCGAGTTTGACCCCCAATAAAGCTTCTGCGATGATGCAATGCATTCTGGCATTCTGGCAAGCGGCCCAAAGCGAAAAGTAGACCTCGCCCTTTTTCGCAAGGCACCGTAACCGGCTGCATCTGGTGGTGGATATACATATATATATGTATATATATATATATATATATATATATATATATAACTCTGGTATTAAATGTGCCAAATTGCTCTGATTTGAATGATATAAATGCTAAAAGGGATATTTGAAATGCCCGATAGATCTCTTCAAGGTAGCTTTAAGAACTTTGATCGAAATGTTCGGTCAAATCGGAGGTTTTCTTACCTATCACCGTATGACGAAGTTCAGTCGGTTAACCTCCGCACCGAGCCGCGCAGCTGTCACACGCACCCGTACCGAGCCGCGCAGCTGTCGCACGCTCCCGTGCCGAGCCGCGCGGCCGTCGCACGCCTCCGCACCGAGCCGCGCGGCCGTCGCACGTTTCCGTGCCGGGCCGCGTGGCCGTCGCACGCTCCCATACCGAGCCGCGCGGCCGACGCACGTCTCCGTACTGAGTCGCGCGGCCGTCGCACGCCTCCGTACCAAGCCGCGCGGCCGTCGCACGCTACCGTACCGAGCCGCGCGGCCGTCGCACGCTTCCGTGCCGGGCCGCGCGGCTGTCGCATGACAGCCGGACGACGGCCGCTCGGATGTCGTGTCACCCGCGTCGCAAGAAAAACGCTCCAGCGCTGGACGAGCCTGTTCCCGAGACTCGGCTGCGTGGGTTTCCCTAAACCTGCGCTGGACACGGAACAAGAGCCCACCCCTGACCTTCAGATTCGATACTTTTATGGGTCATGACAGCCGGACACTTTGGCAACACGGCACATGGGCCTCCCACAGTCGGAATCTCTTATATTTTGACGTGCACTTCTGTGTCTGGTGTGTTGAATAGGCGGTCAACGCATCTGAGTATCTTCCAGCACTTATCCGTGAGATGTGAAAAGGACCGGTATTGTGGGACTTGCCAGGGCCGGGATGCATTGTCGAACCGGAATAGCCTGGTAATGAACCGCAATCCTCTCGGATAGTACCACACGGTTAAATACGAGGAAGATGGCATCGGGGTCTGCAAGATTGCCTATCTCCCGACGGCGGATGCCTCTTACCGGCACTTCACCATGTTTCTCCAGCACGACATTCGCGGCCACTGCTACTATAAGATTCCAGCAGGTGAAACATCTGGCAAAGTTTTGGTCGCCTGTGGCCTCACTGTCGCAGCCACTGTCACGACTCCTTCTGTGAACTTGTGAGCTCTCTAGCACTTAACATCACCTAAATTGCACGTCAATCGTTAACTGAATGTCAATTGCGCCGTAGGCACACCGGATCACTTTTCTGGATGCAAAATTTCGAGGCGATCTTTTCACAATGAAAGGGTCTCGTTTTCAGTTAAAATTGGTTTTCAATTCATATCACCTTGGAAGGGGTTTATATGTTTTCCTTGCCTTCACGCTTGGTAGAATAAACAACTAAAAATTAACCATCATGAGCACAGCTCGAAATATTGAGCACCGCCAGTAAAATCGTTGTTTAGAACGATAACGGCACTTAACCAGTATTTGAAGGTCTTCAGCCTAGCATAATACATTTGAATCCTGAAAAGCAGGAGAGGAAAATGCTGAAAAGCAGGAGAGGAAGCTTTTTCCGATATCAAGTGGTTCAGCAAGTCAGCACCAGTGGCAGATACAGAGGGGGTCACGAGGCCATGGCCACCTTGGGCTCCGAAGGAGCCTATTGGCTCTAAAAATGCACATAAGCGGCCAAATGGACGCAGTTTTTAAACACAAAGTGCACAGCAAAGTTGGAGTTCTCTGGGCCTCCAGGTGGCCAAAGCCGTCGCATGCGAAAGTGAAGGGCTCGTAAGCAGACAAAATAATTCTTCGCTGACTGAGAGAGTGGTAATTGGGGAGATTTTAAGGCTCATCACGCTGACCAGAGGCCCTGTGGTCAGAGCCGGGGGTCCTACAGGTCCACTTGCGGGGTCAGTCGATCGCTAAGGGGCCTTCCACGTTGCCCCTGATTTATCTCCATTTTTTTGGAGAGCCCTACGCTGTTTTCGAGGCCCCAACCGTGAACATGCGGACACTTTCGGTCGATCAGAGGCATTCCACGGATTCTCACATTCGCCCGAAACGCTCTCAACGCTATTTCCGGTGTCCCCGTACGTTAACCTGCCGGGTTACTTTTTATTGCTCAAGGGCCCTTCA